AAACTACAAACCACAAGCCCACTCCATTAAAACTTGAACAAACGCATGCGTGAACAAATTCCACGTTCCCCCCGGAGCGTCCCCGGTTCCCTCAGACAGGAAAGCGATCCACTTTCCAGGTGAACTTCTCCAAGAGTCCGAAAGCGGTCGCGATACTCGGTCTTAATTGGCGAACACGTTCCGGGACACATTCGAATCATGGTCGGGGAGCGCGAAGTTACGCCCGCGACGACGACCTTAATTCACGGAAACTTAGTTCACGCGGATATTATATTAAAGGGCGCTCCCAGGAAATCCCCGCGTCCCGTAAGCGTCTTTGGCAACAATGGCGCGAACAATTTCGCAGTTTGAAACGTAAACCGAATTACGCGCGGTCGGTGTGCAGTCAGCGAACCACCGGCAGCCATCGGCCGTGTGCCCCGGAACGCGATAAACACGCTCGAACGTTATCCACGCCCGAATCCGGAGGATGTACAATTATATCGCATCCGTTCGATCGTCTTTGAACGTGCTCGAACCGAAGAATTTCATTCCACGACGAACGGAAACCTTGTTAACCCTTTGCCGTCCGAAGTGCTCTTGGTTTCTCACGTCGAGGTTCACGTCGACGTTAATTCATTCGATTACAGCTTAATACGACGCTCTGTTTATTCAAGAATATTTGGGAGTCATTGAAATGTTACCCTTAAATGGTACAATTGTGATACTACAAGTAAATATAGAAAAAAGTGTTGATTATTTAGCTTGTTCAGTGATATTAACCCTTTGTGGTCCGAAGTGCTCTTGGTTTCTCGCGTTGAGGTTCACGTCGACGTTAATTCATTCGATTATAGAAAACCGTCGGCAGATGAAGCAAAATTATAGATCGATCGCTCAAATAATTGGAAAAAGGAAACTACGTACCGATCTCCTGCTGTTTTACTAATTAAATCACTTGTTTAGTGTCGCAAATATGATCTGATCTCGAAGTGTCGACGTTCGTCAAAATTTATCCTGATAATCTACAAAACTCAAGCTACGCTATTAGTTTAACACACTTTAACCACTAATTTACTTCAATGTACCTCCATAGAAACACGTAAGAGTCTCTGACAACGATTAAGTTCGCGAATATTTCGATTCTAAAGCGGAACATCCGGCTTCCAAGCAAACAAAGAGTTCAACAAGCGAATTCACGTGTACGCGACAACGGTCGCCAACGGCGCAGCGAACGAGGAACACGTGGCAATTGTTAACGAGCGACAGGACGCGAGATGAAAGGCGAGTCGCGGCGTTTCCATTCATTTCCAGCCGGCTGCGCGGGCGTCTCCGAACGAAAAGCTATCAGGTTAACAGGTGAAGCAAAGAGTAAGTTCCTCTGGAAGCAGGCGGCCGAGCGACGCAACGTCCGAGAATCGCTTCGGACCGATCGATGTTTTTTCCCCGGCCCCGTGAAAGGCGGCGCTCGTCCTTCGGCTGGAATTTCCACGCTCCCCGCTCAATTGTCTCCTCCATTTTCCGCGAGATTACGCAACCTCGCGCGGCCGCTCGGCGTCGTTGCACGGGAAACGCAATTAGAGGGGAACGCGTGAGGGACGCGGGAGTGGAAACAGGAAAAATGGGAAGAGAGATTCAAAATGCGAAATCTGAAATGGATACAAGAATATAAAGGAGAAATGAGGGGAGAGGAGGGAAGTGTTAAGTCTCATAGCCTTCCCGTTTCGTTCTGTAGTATCTAGAATTATTTAGGTTAAAGTATTGTAGGATGAATGGTTTGTTGTGCGTGCGTAAGGGCGAGCAGGTCGTATTGCGACGGACCGGCGCCGGGATGTTTGGAAAATAGTGTGACTGCGTTTAGAAAATCTCGAGTGGCTGAAAGAATACGAGAAAGAGTGTCTGGAACTGACCGACTGGACCGCGAGAAAAGCGTGCACGCGACTGCGTGAATTTTGACTATGGACGAAAGATGCGAGCGAGAAGGGTGCAAGGGTGAGAAAGACAGCGAATGGGGGTGTGTGTTAAAAGCGAGTGGAAATGCGTGCGTGAAGGACATTTTGGCGAGAGACAGCTGAGAACATTTTTGTGCGTGATGGAGAGTCGTGTGTTGGCCTTCGTGGTATTAAGTCTATAAGTTTTATAAGTCAAACCGCGTACAAACGCCTACAAAGCTCGATCACCATTACGTAGCGACGAGTACCTGAAAGGATCACGGAAGTGACAGGAACGCGAAGAATAAAACGAGAGGATCGTAGAAAGAGAGAGGCGCGAGGGAACGCGGAGAAATCGCGAGAAAAAATAGAAATGCGGAGGGAAAGAGGTGAGAATCATAAAGGGAGCGAGGGAAAAAAAGGAACGCGGAAATAAGAGGCAGGGCGGAGCGACGAGAAAAAGGAATTTCGCATTTTGCCCGGCGTCAAATCTAGCCGGGCGGCGATTCCGCGCGAAATTCCCTCTCAGAATCGCGGAAGCCGGCTCCAATTTGCATGAGACGGTTAATAAAGGGGGCGTAATTTAACCGCCGGTTAAAAAAGTTACACCGCGGGATTACGTGACTCGGCGTGCCAGCTGATTATAATTAACACTCTTTAGACATTTATTCAGTGCGGGATTACTGAGGGACCGCGGGAAAGTAAACACGGCTGCACCTCCATTTAAGCGATACTCGTTTCTCTTCGTTTTAAATCCTAGACGGCTGGACTTTCGGATTTCCCCTCTCCAGTGTTGAAAAACACATTTGAATCTCTGACCTCGCTGATCGGCTCCAATGCGCGTCGAGGCTAGTGAATTTTTATGCGCGATTTCTAGTGTTCGACTTCAATGTGAGATTGATATATCTTTGTTTTACTGGATTATGTAGGATTCTTATTTTATAGGGAATACAATTACGTATAATGCGATGAAAGACAATTTTCTATTGTAATTCTACTTGTCCAACTATATTTTCTGTTTTAATACCTTCAATTTAAGTTTCTTAAGTTAACATTCACAGTTTTAACGTAAGAAATCTGACTATTGATGGGATTTGATGCGATTGGTGCTAAGTAGAACAGTAATCCGACAGTGAACGCGTTAAGACTGCCATAAGGTGAAACGTGAACCTCGTGAAACACGAATAAGGAGAATATTTAAGAACATTTAACCCTTTGCGGACGAATGTCGACACTGCCGAGAACAAACTCTCATATTTGTAATACTGAGTTGCACAGAAGCGATTTAATTACTGAAACAGCAAAATATCAGTACATTGTTTCTTTTCTCTCCATTATTTAAGCATTCGGTGTGTAATTCGACAGGATCTGCCTTAGGTTCCTTATACCATAAACAATCTTCGTCCGCAAAATGCCACAGATTGTTCTAAATACTGTCGCAAACGTTGTGGCATCCTTGTTCGCGTCGCTATAAAAGCACGATAATTCCGCGGAGCGCGATACATTTGTTTCAGAAACGATAAACTACCACTTTCGAAATGTCCATCCCTCAGCGCGCGTTCATCGCGATTGGCCCTCTGCATTTAATGCGTTGCATCTATCACGGGAATTCGGAACTCCCTTCTTCTCGCGCGGCGCGCCGCTCAATGAGTCGCTTCATCATAAGCCCGGAATGTGGCGAAAAATTCGCCCACCTAAACGTCACGAGCCCGGGTTAGATTTACTGTTGTCAGTGCAATTGCCGGGCTCGTCAGTGCTGTGTTGCCGTATAAATCAAGCTTCAACGTGGACGGCCCATAAAAACACGACACCGTCTATTTGCCGGTCGAACGGGACACGCCGTTAGAAGCGTCCGCCGGAGAGCGATCAATCAGATGTTTCTCGCGAAATCGGCCGCTGCACTTAAATAACTCATAGACGAGCCACGAGGAGACTCGCGCGGAACTCGCGCGAGGAACCAGGTTTGCAAGAAGTGTCGATTTTTCGAGTAACTCGCGCTTCTTTCGAACGATGTCCAGCAGCTTAGACGTTTGAAATAGTCTCGTCATTCGATTTCTTCTAGTAACTCGAATTCAGAGTTGAGTAACGGTGAGTTACTCGAGCTGAGAAGAGTCCTTGAGTCTACGAATTGCTTGAAATCGACGAACTGTTACGGAAAGGAACAAGTTCCTCGAATTTTAGAGGATTCCCTGTTCGAGAGGGATTAGTCTAATGATGCATAGTTCTCGATTTGCTCGAGTAACTCGAATTACGAGTCGAATAATGGTTGATCGATCGAAATAACTCGAATGTTCGAACTTTCTCAACTGCTAAAAGTCAGCAAATTCCCAAAAAAGTAGACAAGTTACATGAAAATTTGAAAAATTCCACATTCGAACATGATTGCATTGAACACAAGATCAGACCAGTAGTCCAAGACTTCTCGATTTCTTCGAGTAACTCGAACTGCGCGCGCCGCTAGCCTGCTCCCGAGCTGAATGGAATCACGTTCGCATCGTTTGTTCGCGTCTCGCGCGAACACGGCCCGTCTCCTTAATGGAGATAAGATTCCAGACCGTGTACGCTCCGCGCGGCTGTCGCTGGATTTGTTGATCCGGTTATGTTTACCCGTACACAAAGCCGATCCCCAGGGATTAACTCGCAGACAGAGGCTGCTCGGTCTTAGCCACGGCCCTATCCTTCCCGCGCCACCCCCATGGAATCACCTTTAATAACTAATTTCCAGCACAGTTGGATGTAATTAATCGTCATCGATTTAACCCGCGCCGCGCCACTCCGGCCCTAGGACCTGAAACTTTTAATCCCGGAATTCCTCGGGAATACGTGTTCCCTTAACTCGCTAATTAGAGAACTTTAAATTAGGGCCGGTTTGATAGAGGCTGGAAGACCTTAGAAAATTATTTATCTTCCTCGGGACGTCGACTTTAAGAAATGGGATCTGCGGGAATATTTTCAGCAGTTGCAAATGATACGGCCGCTTGATGGCTAGGCTGAGAGTGCTCTTAGTATCCATTATTAATTAACCTAATTAAACCTTTGGACTCGAAAGTTTTATATTCGTCGCTTTCTAAGGAAGCATTGGTTAGATCGCTCATTCTATTAAATAGAAGTAATACTATTGATATAACTGTTTTATTTGAATATTTAATTAAACAGAAGTAATACTATGGATAGAACTATTTTATTCGAATATTTAATTATTTCAATATGTAATAATTACGTTATGAAGTACGATATTGAACAGCGATCTTATAATTCAGCCATCGAATCAAATGGCGTCTCTCGAGTGCAGAGTTAATCATTCGCCCACCTAATTGCTCAGTCTTCATATTTCCGCTCATTTCCAATACTAACTTGCCACTTTTCAATAGTTACACGTAACCAGACAAAACTACGAATTCATTTTATTCTTTAACCCTTTGCACTCGGAAGTACTTCGTTAGAAATATTTAACACTTTCTAACTAGACATTTTTTTAAATTAACTCCAAGAGAAATTGCAAGTGAATCGAGAAACAAAGCTTTTTATCCCAATATTTCACACACCGATGCGTTATATACAGTTGAACATTGAATATCAAATTTTATAGTTTACATCGCATCAAGTGGTAACCGAGGTAATTTGTAGGTAACGAATAATTCGCCATAAACTCGACAGATTCCGAGGTATTGTTTAGAGGCGTGCGCGCGTCGCGTCAAAAATATTTGTTCGTAGCGGATCGCATAAATTGGAGCGTGCAAACATCTCCGATATTTATGAGCGCCTACCTACATGGTAGATTATTTCGAACGCGGCGAATTGTTTTGAGACCGCGCGAATGGTACGAAGTAAATAAAAAGATTATTCAATCAGCCGGCCATGAGAGTGCGCGTTCACGATGAATTGAGCAATAACGAACGATCGGGCGGAGCAACAACCGGGACGACTCGTCGCACTTTTCCGGCGCGGTGATAATGAAAGGAAAATAGAAAGGTAACCCGCCGCCGAAGTCGATCGGAATTGTTTAATCGCGGAACACAGGGAATATTAATTGAGCGACCGCCGATACCGAGCCGGTCGGATAATAATTCGGTATCGGGGAAATTATGAGAACGGCTGAATAATCAAATCCGCCTATTATTTTCCGTTCGCGGCCCGCACGGACGCGTTTCATATTATTTGTTCCGGCGATATACGGCTGGTTAAAAACACGCGGCAGTTTACCTTGCTGATTGAATCGAGACAGAAATGAAAAATTCGATGATGGCTTGCTTCTAGGGATGTTACCGACGAAACTTTCATCGATTTTGACACTAAATATTGAGTATTTCAATGATTATTTAGTAACATAACACATTGAGCGCCGGTCTCGCGATAATGGATTTTTAGTCTATCGTTTAATTACTAATCCTTCGTGTAACATTTTAGATACGTGTAACACAAGTCCAAAGTAAAATTTACAAAGTCGAATTCCTTATTCTCTTCCGTAAGTTAGGAATTTTGGTTTAATCGATGTTTCTAGTAGCTGAAATTTAGCCGGCGTTCAATGTGTTAAGTTGATTTTGATTTGACCAGTAGTTCGATTTCACAAACGAGCACGTAGTTTTCTAGGAACAATAGGATAAAGTGTAGAAACGTGAATCTAGTGTTAATCAGTGAAGACATAATGAAAAACTAAACCTCAATATTCATGATTTCAAACTCGGAGCTCGAGACAACCATCAAACGGACATGTATCGTTTTCAATTATATTGATTAGTTAATTCACTATATTCAATCACTCCTCAAACAAATCTACGAAGAAATACAACATTAAATCATTTGACTGAATTGGCTTATCATCATTGCACGTTCATCAAACTGAACGTCACCGCAATGGATACCATTATTTACAATATAGAAATGTTTGCGAATAATCATCGTTTCATTGAGTGAATTATAGTAATTCGATTTGCTTGGTCACCGGTCCTGGCATTCAACGTAAAAAGCACATTTCCTAAAAATGTCCATGCCGAAGATCGAGTAATCTTACGATTAAACTAGAAATTCGAAACCATAAGGAAATTAATTACGTTTACCCTCTAAATCCCGCCTTAAGCGGAACATTCCTCGATGGTACGTGTATCGGAACGGAAAAGGAGGGATGCAACAAGGGTTAATAAAGACCTGTAGCATAAGCAGGTATCGGTGTTCGCGGCATTAAAATTCTTCCGGCTCGCGAGTAAGATTAAACGGGACGAAAGTTACTTCGTTACGCGCAAATTAAATTGTTCCCGGGGAAGTAATTAATTACGGAACTGTTTTGCCGGATAACGTAGCGAAGCTACGGAGAGGGGGCGAATCAGAAAGCATTTAGGCGAGTTTAGAAGCGCAGACGGTGCCCCGCGGTAAAGCTGCGTTGCCAACGTAGCCGGCCGTGAACCCCTATAGAACCTCCTATGGGGAAGTGTGAACCGTAAGACGGCTGGGGGGGATCCATTAATATTCCTCAGGCTAGGTGGGACGTAAACGAGGATCGTCCTTGGTCGAACGGACGCAGGCAGACGTTCCGCTGGCAGTGCATCATCTGTTCGAGACAAGACCGTGCTATATATCGCGCGGACAGAACTTCATCGATTCCCGTTTGATTCGAAACGTTTGTTTGGAATTGCCCTTCGACCGTATTTGCTGTCAACGCTGCCGACTACACCTGAATGTTATCGTTCCGATGGATGTTCCTGCTATCCGAAGGCATTAATTTCGCACGGCGATCTCCCGCTACGCGTGAAGCTTGCGCTGTCAGTGGAAACTTGAGGATGATGATTTCGAAAACTGGGGAGAGGATACTGTTTCTGGGTTTGTCTAACGTTCTGTCGTTGAAGCGTATTGAATTCTCATTTGATTTCATAGCTCTGTTACTGGAAGTTTGGGGATAATGATTTGTAAAGAGGATTTTATTATTGTTTGAAGAGTAGTCTAAGGTTCTGTCGTTGAAGTGTATTGAATTCTCATTTAATTTCACAGTTCTGTTACTGGAAGTTTGAGGCTGATGATTTGTGAAACTAGGAAGAGAATTTTATCGTTGTTTGAGAATTAGTCTAAGGTTCTGTCATTGTAGTGTACCGAATTCTCATTTGATTTCACAATTCTATTACTGAAAATTTGAGGCTGATGATTTGTGAAATTGGAAAGAGAGCTATCATTGTTTGAGAGTTAATCTGAGGTTTTGTCGTGTACTGAATTCTCTTGATTAGACAGTGGAAGTTCGTTCCACTTCTAGATACCATTTTTAGGGTACAATCCCAGTGAACACCAGAATAATTATTCCATTTTCAAAATCATTGCTGCAATTGGTAACGTACCTGATCCAGGGAACTTTGGCTGAGCGTATAGTCGGTGGCTTTAAGTTCCTCAGCGAGCAGCTTCACCTTGTTAAAGCTGATGCTCAGTAGCATGTCCTGGCTGCGCGGCAGCAAGAGACGAGCCGCAGTTGCCTGTCTCGAGGAGACTGTAGCTTGTGGCAGGTACTTCGCCAGAGCTTTCTTCAGATCCGCGGCGGATACTGGCTGCTGGAACCGTAGGAACGCCACGTAACCCTCGCCGAATCTATGAACAGTACGGTAGACATCTGTGGAATGTTCCTTCACTCTGTGTAACCATGAATATAATTTCAATTTTATCACGATTATAATCGTCATCATAAAGGTATCACGAAACTACTGAAACATTTAGATAAATGATTCTATATGTGATTCAGCTAACACTAAAACTAGAGAAACTGCATTGACTTCTTCAAATTCTATGGAACCTCCAAGAATATCTATTCAGACTTTGATTTTCAATTCAATTTCCACGTCGCTACATCGTTTTCTTTAACAGTTTCTCAGAAACGTCTGTTATCTTTTAACCCTTTGCACTCTAGAAGTTTTTCATTGGAAATACTCAACATCTTCGAATGAGATACCAACGACATTCCTTCAAACTGACTTTCATAAATTGAGGAACGAAACTATTTTCTTTCGATATTTCACGTATCGAAGCATTGTACAAAGTTTAATGTTACATAGGAAAGTTTACAATTTTGCTGTGTCGAATCAGTCAACGACTGAGAGGCGACTATAGAATGCAAAGGGTTAATAATTACAGAAAGAAGAAATGTCTGGTAGGTTTAGTTAGTGTCCCACCCCTTATTTTCTGCGGTTAATCGCTACGGCGAACGAATGGCGTGCATGCCAGAGGTGAATCATACGTTCGTTCGCGAGGTCGGCATAGAAATAATTATCTGAAAACATAAGAACCGTGTTAAAGTGGAATAAAATGAAATAGAACGAAGCAACGGAATAAAGGTGCGGCGAAAGAGGTGCAGCGGGAAACAAGCGTAGTTATTAAACCTGACCCAGGTCGCCACGCTAGTTTTGGTTGAAAGTGCCCCCGGGGCCGAAATAAAACTACGTGTTACCGGCGGAGCTAAGAGTATCTCAACTATGTACAGCGTGCGTCGTAGTATGTGGCAAGTACTGTCGAGACAGAGAACGCGAGGGCATTAAAAAAATGCACCGTACGTGTGTTTGATACAACAAACTCGAGAAATTAAATTCGTACGATGCACCGACTAACGTATTAACCTTTAGCACCTTTAGATATATAATATTAATTTTTCTACAAATTGTTAATAGGGAAACCATTCAAATAAAACAGCTTTGTTTTTTCAATCTTTAAGGAACAAGTAACTCGAGTTTATTTACAAAAACTACTGTAATATAGACAACAAGGAATTAATTCACGAAAGTGACCTAGCACGATACTCGACGCGTTAGGTGTAAATATTACAAGAATGACAATGATGAAACTAATAAATTTATTTCTGCAATATTCGCAGTGTGGACATTACTTTGTTAAGAGTCAATTTACGTATGTCCTCTGGTTAATTTCAAAGAATTTCTATCATCATAGAACACTGAACAATTCCAGTTAAAAATTCTAGAGTGCAAGAGGTTGATGACTCACTGAGAATTCAACGAAAACAAACAACGAAGACATTGCTCCGTTAAGAGTCAATTTACGTATGTTCTCGTTAGTTTCAAAGAATCTTCATCGTCATTGAATAATTTCAGTTAAAAATTCTAGAATGCAAAGAGTTGAAGACTCACTGAGAATACAACGAAAACTGAAACAGCGACGAGTCAATTTACATATGTTCTCTCGTTAGTTTCAAAGAATCTTCGTCATTGAACTCCAGCGAAAGATTCTCGAGCGCAAGGGGTTGATCACCGGCGAAAATACAAGGAGAACTTGTTCCATCCTCGTTCCCAGCGCGTTATAAATGGTATTAGCATAAACGCTAGAATAAAGAACGGGGAACGTTTCGCGCCGCGCGTAGTTGAAGAGCGAGAACATTATTCTGTATCCGACGTCGGTGAATGGGACGGCGCATCCCGTCGAAGTCTGCCCGGGCATCCTTAATAAGGAAGAGGAAGAATAGAACAGGGCCGAGTTATAACTTGAATAACGAAGGGAAGTGCTCCCCGGCGTTCGTAACAAATATTTATCGCGTCCCGCGCGTTCACCGACAGATCCGTCTATTCGTATTCATTTACATCGGTACACGCGCATCAGCTTCGATAAATTATGCCGTGGGAAAGGACAGGCTGCGTAGCGGCTCCTCCTCCATAAATTTGCATGGCCATTTGCGACAGAGAGCACCGCGACACCACGGTCAAAGGACTCGCTCCGGGAAAATGGCGAAATTCTGACCGTCTCTCCCTTGCGCCCCGCAACTTGAACACTTTCCGCGGCGAACGAAGAAGACACCGAATCGAATTACCCTGGGATTCCATTTATCGTAGGGAAATTTTTCAGAACGAACCTTCTCTGTGTTCTGCTCGCGTATGTATATGTATTTCTGATGGGATTGACACTGTTTCTACCTAACGTCTCAAATGGCACCTTCTGAAATTTTATCTTAAATTTATTATTATCTTATCTTAAATCTACTGAGCAGTCAAACTGACTTTCTGAAATTCCTCTATGGAAACTCTGAGACAATTCAGATCGCGTATTGCTAAATCAATTTTTCTAATAATTTCTCAGAGAAACGTCTGTTACTTGCTACAGCGCTCCTAAGCACTCAAACGGTTAACCCTTTGAACTCTAAGCTCCCATATTGCACCAGTTCTAATATTAAATATTTCAATGAATAATAGTAATCCTGAGATTTGTATCAGAGGTGCAGTAGGCAGAAACAGTAAAATTACTATGGAAAATAAAGAGTACGTTTATTGAGATATGGTGTAAAATACAAGATCTATTCTACGCGATGGTTCGGCTGTGACTGAGTGCAGCCAGAGATGGAACAGTTAATTTATGGTCCACCATCGGACCACGTGCTTTAAGCACTTCTTAAAGAAAACAGTCCCGTGTCGCGCCGGGCACTCGAACCGAATCTCCTATTACAAATTTGGAGAGATCGCCTTCTAGCACATCTTCCAAATATACAAAGTTTGTACTGAGAAGGGAACTACAGGTCTAAGAAATGTCACAACATGGTTAATTTCCAGTAGGACTACTATCAAAATTGGTAGGAGTTGCTGACACATCGCAAAGCTATGTGTATATTAACGCTAAGGGTTAATTTCATCCCCCAAAAACTCCGATGAACCGTGTCCCACTTCGCAGTGCATCACGTAGACATCCCCGAGGGAAGAAGGAAAGCGAGCCGGAAGACGGGAGGCGCATAAAAAAGGAAATCTTCCGTTGAAATGACGATCACGGGACGCCGCGCCGGAGAAGTTCGAATCGAGTTTCCGTGGACGCGGGTCGTAAACGGAGTTTACGGTGTCCTTTGGTACCTCGATATTGCGCACGGTATTTCATACATCCGCGGGAATATCGCGCCGTTTATCCAGCGATACGAAAAACCCGCTCGCGAGAGTCGGCTCGATTCCTGCGCCCCCCCTTCCGCCCGTTTCCCACGCCCCCATGGGGGAACGAGGCGGACGGATTGTAGGACGACGGATACCTACAGCTCGCGCACGTGCGCGGGATATCGTAAATTCCCTGCCACTCGATCGCGCCCCGAGCAAAGAGAAAACGGACAGGGGTTACATTAGAGGGATGTTTCAAGCCCCTCGGAGTCGCTTCCCGAAGGTGAGGGGCAAATATTTATGGCGACGAGTCATTCCGCGGAGGACGTTGACGCCGGAACTCGAATATTGATGGTGTACACCGTTTCGGGACATTGAAACCGTTGTTTCGATTGGAATTTCGAAACTGTTGCTACTGTTACCTTTATTGGGACTTTGGAACGATTTTATTATTTTGAAGGTACTGTTAATGCTGTTACTTTTATCATTATTCTGGAACTTTATTAGTTTGTATTGTTGCTAGTGTTATTATCGTTAGTAACTTATCAGTATTATTTTAATATTTACAATGGTAAATATTACTGTGTTAGGTCACTTCTATGAATTTCTTCCGCTTATGTTACGGTGGTTTTTGTGAGTTAATTCGAAATAGATCCGTTAATCCCTTGGAAGGGACTATTTGGAAGGGACTATTTTTCCATTCTATTTGAAGTGGAAGCTTCGTTTGTAAATAATAAATTGATAATAGCAAAATAATTTGTTTTGATCCATGGGTAATGAACAGCATTGATTACTGTTAAATTGTTTTAGAAACCTTCACGGCAAGGGGTTAAGGGTTAACTACTGAAATTATGGCACTGTCAGAGGTTGCGAATTCGTTATCAACGCGTAGAAAAGGTAACAAGAGACGTTCGAATCTCGAGAAATCAACGGTACCGATGTTCAAAAGGAACGACGAACAAGTTCAATCGGCCGGCAGATGTACCGTCGCAATGGCCGGTCCCGTGAAACGACGCCGACACCGTCGTAATAACGTAATCCGCAGTTGTATGCAGCTAAAAATTCAATGCGACCGGCCGGGGACGTTGTTTCGCGAAACGACGAGGCGAGGAAAAAATCAATCGGCCGGTCGGCCGGGGGCGCGGCGGAGGAGGAAGGGCGAGCGAGCGGGCGAGCGAGCGTCGAATAAATTGTCGCGCGACGAATTCTGCTGGGAAGTTTCCGTGAATACGCTACGCGGGGGAAATCGAGCCGACACGAACAATCCATCAGTAGAAACAACGTCATTAAAATGCACCGGTTAAAATTAATCCCGGCCGGATATCGGCCGACTCCATATTCGCCCGGAATATCTGAACGATTTGCCGCAATTGTTAACGTCGCGTTAATATCGAATGGAGCTTTTTGATTGATTCGTAATTCGACGGCGCACGGTCGGCGGTCGTTTTGCGGCCGCCGCTGCTCGCCCGGGGCCGACGGATGGTCCATTGGGGAATTTAATGCTCCGCGCAACATTTCGACAAAAGATCCCGCGCGGAAAGTAAACCGACGTATCGCCGATGCCGGTTTTTCGTGCTTCCGGCGCGAAGTTTCGAGGATTTGACTTCGGCTGACAACACGCGAACGCCTCGGGAATCTTGAGCGTTTTACATAACAAGATTCTTTCGTAGCGAAGATTAATAAGAAGAATTAACCCTTTGCACTCGGAAAATTCTCGATAGAAATATTTGACAGTTTTTGACAACACAAGTATATTAACGCTAGATTTACGGAACGCGTCAATTCGACGTAGATTGAATTTTATAAATATTATTTGGTAAATGTTTCAATTATTTTCGTTGATCCAATTACAGGAATATGAATCCTGATTGTCTATTTCTACATCTATAATTTCCAAAATCGTGACAAATATTTCCATTCGACGCGAGTTGTCTTGTTTTCGAGCAGTTAGAAAGTTCTACTTGCCAATACCACTATTGAAGTCAACGTGTTAATTGGTAGAGTGTTAACTAGTTTGTGCATGAATTACGCGAGATAGAAAGCAAGGGATTATAATTTCATTATCCATTGTTACTTAGGTTAGCCCGAGTTGCCGCATGAGTGGTGAATTCTTTTTTCTAGGTCACGCAGGACACAGCGGGGCGAATTAAATATGCAACGAGCGATTCGGAAGTCCGGAAGGGAGGCGAACTTACTTGTGTTTAAGGTGCTGCGGCGTTCCTATGCACCTGAGACCGGCTTTGGCAAGAATACCGACCCGGTTGCACAAATTCTCGCACTCCGCCACGCTGTGCGAGGTCAGAATTACGCAAGTCTGGTCCTTCGTCATGCGTCTTATCGTTTTCGCGACGAGATCCTTCGTGGCTGGGTCCATGCCGCTGCAACGGGAATAAATAAACCATGAGCTCGCGCGAGTTCGACGCTTTCAACCCCTTGACCTGTGATTTGTTTCTTAGCTGTGACACAACTACTATTAATAATAGAATAGTAATATTTAATTTATTTTTCAGTTTGAAATCGTCACGAGTCTGACACGATATTCTAAGTGAAGACACTGAACTATCGAGCAGTTAAATTGACTTTTCGAAATTCCTCTATAGAAACTAATAGTACATCTACTTTAATTGCTTCATAATTCAGTTTACATATTTCTAAACCAATTTTTGATACTTTCTTAGAGAAACATCTATCGTCGTTTTAATAATTGAACGAAGATATCAGGAATGAGCGAATAATTCGTTTACTTTCATTCGATAACTGGTTATTCGAGCCGTTACGATAAGAACAAGTGGGTGTATATAAAAGAGAGACGTTTAACGTTAACCGATGTTCCGTTTTTACTATTTCTCGCGGCGTTTCCCCGTGCATTTCATAATTTATCCAGCGTACCTGGTCGGCTCGTCCATGAGAACCACGGATACCGGCGCCATAACGCTCAAGGCAGTGCACAGTTTCCTTTTATTGCCCCCGCTGAGGCTGCTCACCCTTTTGTGAGCGTATTTCAAGAGATCCAGTCTCTTCAGCATCGCTTCGACTGCCTGAAACAATTTTTCATGGGATCGCATTAAAGCGGAAAAAGGGAAGTTCAGAGCCGAGGGGCCATCAATTATGTATCGCGAAGCCAACTTCCTCGTTGCAGAGTTTTCTTAATAAAACACGCCGTCGAATATTATTGTCCACGAGTTCCGCGGTGTTCGGTAGAATCGAAACTAACGCGGAATTCTGGGTAAGAAGACTGTTAACGCGAAGATATTTCGTGGGAAACATAAATGTGATACTGGTAAAAAGCGTTCGAAGCTGTCATTCAAATGAATAGGATTATCTAATACCCATTTTCGCGGGAATAACATCGAATATCATACAAGAACCCTACCATTACGAACTCCAAAGTTTCCTCATCAAATAAACAGTCGCGAACTTTCGAGTATAAATGCAAATCCACCTCCGCGAGAGCCATCGAAGCTAAACGAAGAAACCCGATGAGAATCGTTCGAATTAACTGCGAGAAAATCTTGGACAACAGTTCTCAGAAGTCCCGCGAACAAAGAGAAAAATCTCGAACTGCTTAACGTTTCATGCGCCTCTCTGTTTCCCGGCTAGAAATAATTAACGACTCGACCTTAGCAAAGTCGCTTAACTTATCTGCGTCACTGCTGTAATCGTGTAACTCATCTTTTGTAACCACAATATTATCAAGATACTCATTATTCACTTTTCTCCTTCGTTGATAATTAATTCCATTGATAATTGCAAGACGATGCACTATATATTAACCTTTCACAGTTAAGAGAAGACTCAATTAATAACTGATTCCATAGCAAACCTATAGAATTTAATATTAACCCTTTGAACTCTGTAGGCTCCAATAATGCACCAGGAATAATAGATATTTTAATGAATTTTACAGAAACTACCCTACAATTATTAGATTTCTAATATTTCTCTACAGGAGTGCTAAGGGTTCAAACTTGCGCAATACATTACTATATGAAAAACAGGTTCATCCCTCCCTATGTAATCTCTAAATCAATTTCAAAAAACATTACGTACATCTCATCAGAAAATACTAAAAAATCTAGGAAAACTAAAAAACGTCACAAAAATCGCAGAATACTCCAGCGAAAGTGTCAGCCGCGAAGTGTTCCTGGCTCGACAATACGACGGCATTCCCAGCGATGCAAATGGGTTAAAGGTCCGTAAAACTCGCGGGACGGGACGGAAGTTCCGGCATAAATCAGCGGCTCACCTTGGGAACGTTAGCGAGTCCGCAAACTTCGCCGTGAATAGTTAGACACTGATGCGGGCTGAGGAAGCCATCGAGGCTGTCGCTCTGAGGGCAATAACCGACGTCGCCGTTGCAGAGCGGCCCGTTGCCGACCTCTCGACCCTTCAGGATGATCCTGCCGGACGTGGGTATGATCTCCGTCGTGAGCATCCGGAACGTGGTGCTCTTGCCCGCCCCGTTCGTCCCTAAAAGCCCGAAACACTTGCCAGCTTGCACGCCTAAGCTGAGGTTCTGCACGGCCACGTTCGTCCCGTAGACGCTGCTGTACTCCTTGCGCAGCTTCACCGTCTGCAGCACGTCCTCGGACATGCCACCTTCGACCCTCATCCTCTCCTTCGAAACGTCGTCGTCCTCTTCGACGGGCGTGAACGGCGAGCCCTGCCGCTTCCACGCCGGCAGCAGGCGGCACTCGATCGTCAGGTTCAGCGCGAACAAGATGGCGCCGACCGCCGCGAGGAAAACGTAATGGCGGCCGAGCAGCTCCCAGCCCAACGGAGACTTGTACGTGTCCATGTGGAATTTCTCCAGTAGCTGCGTCGTGATGTCGTTCCTCGAGATCTGCACCAGAGCGTCGCCTAAAGCGTACTGCGGGAATATCAAGAGGACGTTGTGCAGGGTGTTCCGTATGTCCTCCGCGGTTTTCGATTTGCCCAGGATGTCCAGCACCAAGATGGTGGCCAGAGAAATCACGCCGATGAACGAGTTCGTGCAAAAGAGCACCATGTTCGGGAGACTCGAGTCGTTGAAGGTTTTCTCGAGCAGGTACGAGTACGGCAGTGCTGCCCAGCTGTAATGAGTTTCGGTTAGGAGTTGATAAAATTGTAGCGAGTGAATGTTTGAATGAGTACGAGATGCGCAAATGAGTGAGATCGAATGGGATAGAGCGACAGTTGCTAAATACGAGTGCCAGGAGAGGACGAAAGTCAGTTGTTAGTTGATCAGCGAAAAACAACAGAATAACGTCAAGAAGAGATTGCGACAATATTAAATTTAATTAGATTATTAGGTGTTTGATAATATTGTTGGATGGGACTTTATGTGAGAATTGGAATTAGGTTGAAAGTGTAGGAAATTTGTATCGATCGGGAGATGTTTTGTTTCTGTCGAAGTTGATGCGGAGATTTGATTGGCACTCACGCGAAAAGGAACAGCAGCAGGCAGATACCAGCGAGATTGTCTCTCGCCACGTAGGCGGAGAGGCCAAAGATCTCGAAGACGATCACTGCCAAGCCGATCGACAGGCCAAACACCTGAAAGCCAAGAAACGAATGTAAATCGAGTTTGATTTATATTCCTTCTCCCGTTTCGCCGGCCACTCACGAAGAAGTCCCAGATTAATACAGTCGTCCAGTAGGTGACAGGATGGACGCCGGCCAAGAAGAGGATCCTCTTCTCCTCGGACAGCCTTTCCCGCACCAGCTCCTTGGATCCTTGAGCGGCGACCAAATTGAACGCGATCAGAAGAACCAGAGCCACGCCGACGTCCGCCACGTGCTGCAACCTGAGTCGGACAACATTCTGTGGTACTCGTTCTCTGTGCTATTGTTCGACAACTAGTCTCGAACGTTTGATCCTCAGATAAATTGATTTTGAAAAGGAATTTGAAAATGTGGTGGAAGACGGTGACTTTTGATCTTTGGGAAGTACTCTAACTGCAAAATTATTTTTCTATATCAATAAATAATATAATAATATTGTAGGCAACAGAAGTGTCAACCCTTCGCACTCGAAAGCTTTTCACTTGAAATATTCAATACTTCCTAATTAGATGTGGACAAGATTCTTTAAAATGAATTTATCGAGAAACACATGAATTAGGGAACAAAGCTAGTTTCTTTCAATATTTCTCGTACTGATGCAGTGTACGAAGGTTAATGGTAAATACCATGGTTTATAATTTTGCTGCATCAAATCGAGTACAAAGGGTTTACAAAATAATATCTTCAATAGCATAAACAACACTGACATTTGCAATATCATCAGCAATAAACGATCCTTTGAATTATCCCATACAAAATCATTATAATTGACAGCCTCAAGAAGCCTTCTCCACAGTCGTTCCAAACCGAAATCAAGAATCCCCTCGAAAATACAATTTTCCAGGCAAACGCGTGGACAATACGCGCCACGCATTCGAAATCCAGCTGAACTTTTTCGCGGCGCCGTGCACAGGCACTGAACGCTTTCCCAGAGCCACGTGAAACGTTATTATTGACAGGTGGCAGCGCGGGCACGCGAGGACGCGTCGAGGCGGAAGATTAAAAAAGGAAACCCGAGGCCGCGCGATCCGGTTGAACCGCGGCACGCCGGGTTAATTAAAAGTAAACGCGACACCCGCGATTTCGTTGCTCGCGCGTGCACGCCTCGTTCTGTCTACGTGGGTAAGATCGGCCGGGCACGTTAGCGTCCGACCCGGTAATTGGATTGCGCTTATCGGACACAACGCCGAGCGCAAAAATGCTCATTTTAATATTTTTTCAGCGTCGCCCGGGATTTATTTCGGCGGGGCCGGCGCGCGGAAATGTAAAATAACGCGACGACCGAGTTACTACCATTATCGACCATCGACCGCGATCTATTTTTTGTGGTAGCAATTTAGAAATGATTTCGCGCGTTTCTTTCGAGTCGTCGCGACACTGAGGTGTGAACTTACAGGCTGGTCCGGTTCAATTGATCGCTGGACAACCTTAAGGGATGGTTTAGGGTCGTCAAGCGGCCCTGAACGCCGAACGCTCGTAAAATCGCCTCGTTTAGGGCGCTCAAGTAGGACGGCAACGCGTGATGACCCTTGTTGTTGTACCAAACGACGAAGAGTGGCTCGTCGTTGACGTGTGACAACGACCATCCACCGTATCTGTAAAAAATAGCGAAATAAACATAGCCAGCTGTTTACAGTCCCTGCGTTTTTACGATCCTCTCATTACTCTCTGAAATTTCGTGCAATTATGTACAATGATCGTACCTTGTATTAGAAGCTAAATTGATATACTAATTATTAGATTGCATTGTTTGTAATATACAAGTATTCGACGGTAGATGCACCAAAGGTTAACACTAGGTTTACGGACGTTTATTTTCCGGTTTGTTCTCTTGTTCCTAGAAAAATTGATGTTCGACTATTTAGATCTTGGAAAATAGAGATTTAAAATTAGGTTATTACGTATTCTTGTAACTGCATCAACCAAAACCGACATAAACGTTTGCCAAGTAATGTTTATAAATTCAGTATCAAATTGACTCCGTATACCTAGTGTTAAATATTGAGATTCAGTTCTGCAACGAAGGTGTTTACCTTTTCTCGATGTACTCTTGATGAGTCGACACAATCCAATCAAGAGTCGGCCTACCAGGCAGAACCTGCAGCAAACCTTCGATAGCCTGCGACACTCCCTGGCAAACTTGGTGACCATCCAAGCACTGACAAGTTCCTGTATCCTAATCGAATAAAACATCTCTCTATCAACCCTGTTTACAGAATAGAATTGCTAAAAATATCTACTGATCTCGTTCACAAAATAATCACTAAAAGCTATATATCAACTATAGCCATGTATTAACTATAACGATATATCTATATTAACCCTATTTCATTTAATACTTAACCCTTTGCATTCGAGAGGTGACTATCAATCCCCACTTGATTTGATTTGCAAAATTATAAAGTCTTATAGATAACATTAAGCTTTGCATGATGCATCAATATGTGGAATATTGAAATAAAATAACTTTCCTTAATTTATATATGTTTCATTAATTAATTCCAAAGAACATCGTCTGTATCATCGCAGAATATTGAATATTTCTAGTGAAAAACTTTCGATTGCAAAGGGTTAATACTCCAATAAGAACGATACCTTCGAATGAAAGTATCTCCAGAACACAAGGACTCAACGAACAAAATTTCCATTGCATGAGAATGCAGTTACAGAAACAACTATGGCCTATCGGTTAACTACCATACTATCCAATAATGCTTTCAATCGGCGTACATTCGGTAACATTTGCCAGGCGCCAGCGTAATCATCCCCGAATCGATCGTGCAGCTGAAAGGACACGTTCTGCAGAAACGGGTCGCCGCCATTGTCGATGCTGAATGGAATGTCAAGCAGAGATGCCGTTTAATAAATTGAGGGGGCAGTAATTATACGCCGGATCGCGTCGCTGTGTGTACCTGTAGAAGTATGTCGGATGAGTGTCGTACAGTTTCGGCGTGAGAGGCAGCGCGGGTTCATCACCGGATGGAGGTCTTATCAAAGAGAATCCCATGGCGACTGCGACGAACGTCGTCGGCAGGAGGAGGCCGGCGACGAACGTCATCCAATCTTTCCTGAAGTGCCACATTCTCTTTTTCAGCAAAGCTTTGACCTGTCTAATGGGAGTGGGATTTAAGGCCGGCTCGCCGCCTATCAGATCGACCTCGTCGTTCGGCATCGATAAACCTGCGGATCGACGAAACTCGGAATAGAATGCCGACATCCTCGAGACTCGAGTTCTCGAACTGTAATCGGTTAAACTTGATCATCGTTCCTTTCGAACATCGGTACCGTTCATTTCTTCAGATTCAAACGTCTCTTATTAACATTTCTCTACATTGATAACGAATTCGTTTCGCAATCTCTGACAGTGTCATAATTTCAGTAGTTAACCCTTAACCCATTGCCGTACAATGACGAGTGAGACTCGTGAATGAGGTGACTCTCATCAGTTAGATTGATACAGTAAAATTATGAAGTTTGATATTGAACTTTATATCACTATGTAAAACATCAAAGTGAAATCCCTTAGTTTATAGATTAAATTAGTTACATTAATCGCAACAAACGTCTATATTTTAGTGTTGAATATTTCTATAACAAAACTGTCGAGTGCAAAGTGTTAATTTAGATTCAATTCGTCGTATTTCCCGTGAAACATCGCTGAAGTACAAGGGCTTCAAGAAATTATACAACAACATAAGACCGTAGAACGTTTGCAATATAATTCCCATGCATATCTGCAGTCTCATTAACGTACCGACGTGATCCACGGTGACGATGCTATCCTGGCTAGCGCTGATAACGGTCGATCCACTCTCCGCGCGGGAACAAAGATCCAGGAAAACTCTCTCCAGCGTGTCACATTCCAGAGAAAAGTGGGAATAGCCCACAATCTTCCGACTGTCCTCCAGAACCTTCGCAGCCTGCGCGATACTGGAAAGCACTTCGTTTAACGAACCACTTCTCGCGCGACGGACTCCCACGGCGAGTAAAACACACCGAGGCGAGCGCAAAATTAGTTTCCTTTAAAACTCTGCGCAATGCTCGGAAACAAGGAACACGCGTAGACAACATTTCTTATATTCTCAACGTTGTTCGGATTTTAAACGAAAATAGAGCCCGACTGAATGGGGAAATATTAACCCTTTGAACTCCGTAGGCTCCAATATTGCACCAGGAATAAAATTAAATTATCAAAATAAAAGTATCAACACGTACATCGAAGTAAAATAGTTCTGCCTCTTAATCTATAGATAATCAAATATGCTACTTGCGGAAAATATCCTTAATATTTAGTCAGAAAGTAATGAATATTTTTCATGAAAAATATTGAGTGCAAAGGGTTAATCGTGTTAAATGCTCGGTAGTTCTACTGTTAAAACTGCAGTAAATCCTCACTTGTTGACGCCATTCTTCCCTTGCAACGGCAGCGTGACGACGACCTCGGTGCCCGAAATTTCGCTGGTCTCCGCATTGGGGATCACCTCCTCGATGACGCTCTTCAGGCTCTCGATTCTCTTCCTCTGAACGGTGTCCGTGGCCGAGTCCCGTTGCTCCCCGGGGAACGAGACGAGCAGTCTGTATCCGCGGCCATGCGTCATCTTCAAGGATAACGGCGAGCCGGTGCACAATATCTTCCCCTTGTGCATCACCACCACCGTATCGCTGAGCATGTCAGCCTCGTCCAGGTGATGAGTCGACAATATCACCGTCCTGCCGATCCTGTGCTGATCGATCAGCCGCCAGATCCTGCGTCTCGCCGCGGGATCCACCCCTGCGCCAGGCTCGTCCAGGATCACCATCTTCGGGGAGCCCAGGAAGGCCAGCGCCACGCAGAGTCTCCTTTTCGTGCCACCTGACAGACGGTGCACCGGCTCGTGCTCCTGCTTGCCTAGCTCCAGCGATGTTAGCATCCTGCGAACGATAGAAATATGGTGGTTCGATTTGACATTGATGGACGACGAGAACAATTTCTTTTGTTGATTGGTGATTCTTGGGGAGATCGATCGAGATTCCATACTTTTGAAATAGAGTTGTTGGCGTTGTTTGCGACTACTTTGTGCTTTGGAGGATATAGATGCTATTTACGTCGACGTGTTAATGGAATTGTTGATGGAGGTTGGTTTGTATATATTTGTTGGATAGTATTTAATGATAGAAAATATTCGAATTAATTAAATATATATAATCTCTCATATTTTCCTTATAAGGGGTCGAAGGATTTCTTCATTTGCGAGGAATTGAGACGAACTTCACTTTAGGAAATCGTTCCTTTGATACCAATGTAATATCAACATCAAACATTCCCATCTACAGCGAACTTCCAAATAAATAGTTTCGTTATCCAAATAACCATCAGCAACGCGCAATAATCTTTCCCCTAGTATTCAAGGTTCACTTTAAAATCCTTCGTTCAAACTTCAAAGTTGGTTTAACTACCGTTCACCAAAGTCACAATCTACGGGTACCATTTCAATATACGAATTTCCTTCTCGGTTCTACGCGAAGAGCCTTTCGAGAGTTCATTTTCGCCAAGTACCAATCGAAGTAACAACCGATTAGTTTTTCGATTCATGGGTGTAATCCGAAATTTCCTCGAAGGTTCCGTAGCTGGAAGCGGTGGACGATGATCCGTGAAAATGGAATTCATAAAGACAGTTTGCCGATCGACTTACTCGTCCACGCTCCGTTGCATATTAACGCTCTCCTTGGGCCGCTTCAGTTTCGCGTAGAAGATCATGTGTTCCCTGGGCGTCAAAGTACCGATGAGCACGTTATCCTGGGGGCAGACCCCTATGTCGGGTTTGCAGTCCTCTTCGCCGTTCAAACAAATCTCGCCGGTGGTCGGGTCCAGCATCCCCGTCAGCATCTTGCTGAAACGAAAGCACACACTCGAAAGACGGAGAATGATGACGGGATCCTCCGGCATTTCGCTGGCTGCCGTTTGAACCCTTAATACTAGAACTACTTGAACACCCTGTAGAATCACTGGTTTCAGTTTCCCGATTCCGTAATTATCGATGTATTAACCCTTTGCACTTGGAAGTATTTCGTTAGAAATACTTAACATTTTCTAACGAGACGAAGATGATATTTTTTAAAATTAACTCACAGAGAAATCACAAGTCAATTGAGAAACGACGCTCTTTTATCCCACTAATTCCACCGATGCCTTATACACGGTTCAATATTAAATATCAAATTTTATAATTTTACTTCGTCAAATCAGGTGGTGACTGAGAGTCACCTCTCGAGTGCAAAGGGTTAACAACACGCAAACTGAATTATAAATCAATTGAAATATAAATAGATGCATTATTCAAGTTTCTATAGAAGAATTTTGAAAAGTCTAACTGCTCGGTAGGTTTACTGATAAAATCTACAATCGAATTCCACTTTGGCTATGTACACGTTAAGTGGATCGATGTTTACGTACATGATGGTTGTCTTCCCAGCGCCGTTCCTGCCGAGAAGACTGGTCACTTCCCCTTCGCAGAGCTTCAAAGTGAAGTTGTCGACGGCCACAACTTCGCCCTGGTCGCTGTTGTAGACCTTCCTCACCTCCTTGAAACTGACCCCCGTTTGTTTCTCGTTCACTACCAAACTGCTCGCGTCGCTCTCCTCATCTGTACCCCGTGTCCCGCAGAGAACAAACGTTTTCAACGGAAAATATCAACCGATCCCCTCCTCGCGAACGTGAAAGCAAGCTCTTACCATCTGTACAGCTAATCGAATCCTCGAGGAAGCAAGTCGAAACAGGATTGACGAAAAAACAAGCACGAGTCTCGAGTAAGTTTCTCATTGCAAACGTTACCATCGATTTCTCTCGAGACGATCGTTCGATTGACAAATACGTCCGATCGGAAGGAGTCATGCGATCCATGCAACACATGCAACGTAGCATTGCCTCTACTTTGGTACAATCACAAGTCTACGTAATCGAGAAATATTTGAAAGAAGATAATACTGATGAGTTCATTATTATAAAACATGTCCTTTATCAGAGAGGTGAGTGAAGAAGTTAAAGCAAAATTGAAAGAATTGAAATCTTCAATTGAATTAAGATTACCAACCGATTTTCTTTTCCTTTTTAAATTATGAAGAAATTGATTCTCTAAAGCTCGCTAGCCTTATCAATGATTACCCTTCAACTAATTATTGTATACCCTATCGAACAAGGTCACCTAATCATTTCTATTCACCTAGTTTTACGTCCAGATACACAGCACAATTAGATTATGAACCTATAGAATTATTGGTATTCTGTAATCGATATTAAAAAATTCGAAACAACGCGATCGTTCTATTTCCACGTCTAAGTAGACAAGAATAAACAATTGGAAGGAAGAAGAATAAACCTCTTTGATTCTACGAACAGATATGCCGCCATTTTGAAGCAGTATACCGAAGAGTCGCCATCGCGCCGCTTGCCGTAACGGTTGATCTTAACACGTTAAGCGCCATGTCAGCCACTGGTGACTGACGCTTCTGAATGACTAAAAAACAATCGTAACACACAAGACAACCGATGTGAAATAAAAATGTTTAATAAGGCAACTAAGTTGATAATAGTGTAACGCAAACGTTGCAACGCCAAACAATTCATAAGTATTCCTACTTTTCTTTGCTACAAAAGACAAACTCTATGGGAAAACGCTTAAGATTTTCGTGCCGCATAAAGTGTTAAGCGATTTAACATTAGGTTGTTCCTAGAAAAATTGATGTTCGACCATTCAGACCTTGGAAATTAGGGATTTAAAATTAGGTTCTTACGATACGTATCCTTGTAACCGCATCAACTAAAACCGACATGAACGTTTGCCAAGTAATGTTTATAAATTCAGTATCAAATTGACGCACTCCGTAAACCTAGTGTTAAACAAATGAGAGAATCTCGGGATTGGTAGGAAATCGGTCGTGAATCATTCTGAAAAGTTTCATCGGTCCGCGGTTAATTTGAATGGTAATCTACAGCGAGACGAACGGCCGGGTGAAAATATCGAGGACTGCCCGGGAGACGCCGCGCGATTTCCATTCCCCCGCCGCGGGACGTTTTAATAAAAGTTTGCTTCTTTCATTACTTATGCAGTTCCTTAAGATCACGTTCTACATTTACCGGCGAGCCCCGGTGTGTCCGATGACTCGCGGAAACGGGCCAGACCGTAGAATGTAAATCTGGAAGCGTTTCGCGAGGGAAACGCGAATGAATGCATAATATATAACGCGAGTGATTCGAATCGCGGTGACTTTTCGACTGTTTACAAGGGAATCGGGGGGAGAATGTCAACGCGTGGGCTATCGGGAAGAATTTCCGGGCGTCGAATAAATTAAGACAGCGGCTCCCAACCTGTGGTGCACCTACTAACGAACGGAAGTTAGAATAATCTTCTTCTTCACTTTTATTTTTCCCTTTTTCGTGTGTAGATTGACTTTCACGGTATCTTCTACTGTGAAATTAGAGTTTCTATTGTGTTTAGTAAGGACATTGCAATAAAAAGTTAAATACTAAATAATATTCCTATTTTGACGGTATTTCTTAGCGTGAAATTATAGTTTCCATTGTGTTCACTAAATACATTGCGATAAAAAGGTGTTCAGTAATAATTTGAGTCTAATACAGTGTCTATCTCGATTGTAGTCGTTCGATAGTTTAACTAGCATGAAGAAATTCGAAAAAAAAACAAACTTGTTTAAGAGATGGCTAGGAGTTTACGAGAGACAGTGGTACTCATCGTTGAAAAGCTTAATCGAGAGGTGCAAGGGAAGAAAAAGATTAGGAACCGCTGAATTAAGCGAATCCTCCGCTCCCAGCGAGCAACAACGAGCATCTGCATATCCGACGCAGTCCAAATATCCGAACAGCTCCTTCTCGCCGGAATTTTACGAAACGGATGGAAACGTTTATGCAGATCAGCCGGCGTTCCATCTTTCCGGGCGCGTCCGCGCAATTTTCGTGTCTTCCGAGCTGGTGCCTCCGCGAATCCCGACGTATTAAATGTAAAAGGAATTGAGCGCGAAATTTCCGCGTGAACGAGAGGTAAGTGGCATTCGACGGACCGAAGGGTTCATCCGTTTTTTTCGAATGATACATTGTGTCCACGAGATGCTCGAAGCTCAACCCTTCGCACTCGAGAGATGACTTTCAGTCACCGCTTGATTCGATTTGCAAAATTATAAAGTCTTATATATAATATCGAACTCTGTATGATGCATCAATACATGAAATATCGGAATAAAATAACTTTCGTTCTTTGTACGTGTTCCCTCATTAATTAGTTTCAAAGAATATCGTCTGATTTCTAGTGAGAAACTTTCGAGTGCAAAGGGTTAAATTAGTCAACGAATATAGACATTCAGGAGATTCGAATAGAACTGAAATTCGAAAGAGTTTTTAAGAGGAGAATTATCTTAATTAAAACATTGCTGAAGGAACGGCTTATTCGGAAGATTCATGATCATTTAATGCAGTCGCTGATGCTTCGGTAAGTGCGAATAACAAGGGGAATTAAATGGATCCGTCGGAGTAGGAGTATACGTCACGTGCAAAATACCAAAAGGAAGAAGAGAACTGTTCTCGAAACATGAACAATTTATATGCAATTTTCTCTCCATTGCACGGAGGAAATTCTTGAACCGAAGAGGAACATTAGCATAAACAAGTTCGAGAGGTATGCTAGAATACTAAAAACACCGGGGAAAAAAAGGAACGCTTTCGAAACGTGAAAAATTCAAATCTAATTTGCTTCCTGTGAAACGAGGTTTCTTGAATCAAGGTAGAAGCAAGTAAATGAATACACTGGAGTGAAAAATAAGTCTCTTCGGACATCTTGGGAAATAACAACCAGAATGCAACTGCTTCATGGAGAAGATTCAAAATATCTCTATAAATCGAACAAAATCCAACCGAAAATCATGAATTACATCTAATACAAAGTACATCGCAATCAAACTCCAGGTCTTCACTCATTTATGAGAAACTCAAACCTGCAAAATCGCAGAGAATGCACGGAATTTTCAAGAAACAAAGTATTCAAAGCGTACTGATTTGTAGTGTCCCTTTCGAGAAACCATTCTACAATAACACCATTTATCCAAATACATTCTCAAACCTTTGAACAAACTTTCACACAAAGCTCATCAGTTTACTAACAATTATGAACCATCGATACCATCACTATGCAGCCTTCGATTCCGTAGAATCACCAGAAGGAATCGAGGAAATCACTCGGTTAGCTATGTTCTCTAATCACCAATGAAGCTTAACAGAAAATGCGAACATTCGGACGACGATGGCAAAGCACGAGTAAATAAAATATAGCGTTTCGTTGATTCCAGAAGCGAAAAGAGCGTAGAGAAGCAACGAGAAAGAGAAATAGAAAGAGAGAGAGAGAGAGAGAGAGAAGCTCGGAAACATCGTGCAAGAGAGCGGAAGAGAGCTTGCGAGTGCAATACCTTGGTAAGTGGCTGAAGGGTGGAGAACGTCGTTAGTGAAATAGAGGTTGTTGACGAAGGCGAGGTAGCTCGGCCTGCCAGAGAGAGAACGCACGTCGGCCCACCATAAGCTACGGGACCTCAAATCGTGAAAGCCCTTGCCTGGAAAATTAGTAGCCGAATGGCTGCTCCGTTTTTCCATCGACTTCGCCGCTAGGTCACCGACATCTTTCGCTGTTGTTGCGGAGATCACCTCTCGCTGATCGACGGGAAATTCTCAGGGAACGCAGAGGAAAGATGTAGGAGCTCGAATAGAAAATTTTTAGCCCCGGGTATTTAGTTGTTGAGATATTAAACTTTGAACGTTGGAAAGCTCCGTCGTGTGGACTGTAAGAAATTTTGTTTCTGTTTGTCGTAATCGTTGTAGTTTGAGATGTATTTCTTGTTCTAGTATATTTACTGCTGTGTTTCATAGTGTATTCGCTGTTGTGGTTACTATTGGATTTATTGTTATATTTTTGGTTATATTTTGTATTGTGTTTTCTGTTGTATTTACTGGTATGTGTACTATTGTATTTTCTGTTGTATTTACTAGTATGTGTACTATTATATTTTCTATCATATTTTCTGCTGAACTTTCTATTGCATTTATTCTGCTTACTATTATATTCACTATTACATTCACTTATTACATTTACTCATCACATTCACCTATATTCTCAATAAAGCAAAAAATCACAAACTACATCAAATATTAAATACAAACAGCACTTTACATATTTCCACACGATGTTTCCACTCTCCAGCAATCAAAGGTGAATATCTCCGAAGCTAATAAGTACCCAGAGCTAACATTTTATGCTTCGAGTCTCCCATCCGTCCTCTCCAACCCCTTAAAAGTCTCTCGTCGATCGACGACTCGGGCCCTTTCAATCTTCCAAAAATGAGGGTTGGGACGGGATTCCCGCGAAAATTCCGCGGGCAACTTTACGAGGCCGGTGCACGCGGATGCATTATCGTTACCCGGTTACCGTTTCCTTTCCAGGTTTTTATCGCGTCATCAACGCGCGATGAAATTCGCGGGGAAAACTCGGCCGAGCGAATCACGGCGTTCCCCGGGAAACTCGATGACTCGAGGGCCGCCGGGAATTTCGTGGGCTTTCCTACGGCAGCGACGCGCGCGAGGGAAGATAGGAAAATAAAAAAGTTTCGGGTTCTCTGATTGAATCGGTGGCAGTCGATAAACCAGGATTTTAATAGATCTCCGATCGTCTCCGGTCTTTTCTCATTAACGAAAGGAATGAAACTAAGTACATTGAGATCTATCACCGAAAATAATTTAAAATTTAATACGAAAGATTAAAGAGATTATTTAGAGATTCTTGTATGACAAGAAAATTTAAAGGAAATCCAATCTGGTCAGACTGATTCGAATAACTCGCGAGTCGAGATGATTATGCTTTAGTCTCTTCAAAGGGGGATTTAGAAATTCATTAATAAACACAGAAGGTACAGATGGATCAAGGGAAACGAGAAATAAGTAGAGACACGGTACACACTCGAATCCTGTAGAGTATTAAAGGATTAAACATTTAAGTGTCGCTTCGCTTTCTCACTTCCATCGCAATTTGGATTCCTCGTCGGAAAGATGCGTTAATGAAAACACACGTGAAATCTGTATCCTTGTACCGGTGAGTATAGGTGCTACCGGAAGCAGAACACTTTGGATTAGTGGATCACTGTATTCGTGACCTTCGTGAACGTCTCATTGTATTTCGGAGGATAAACGAGATTAAACAACTTAGACATTAGGCCGAGTATTTAGAGTATCTACCGTTCGTGAAACCACCACCAAATTTAAACAGATTCCGTCAATGGTTATTCTAACACGAAGAGCTAAGGGTTGCTTGTCGTTACCTGAGTTCGTGTATCTGGCGATCAGATAACCGATCGTAGCGTAGAGGCAACCGTCGAAGGCGATCATCAGCAGGATCAGGCCTAGGGTCATCGAGTCACCTGGACTGCCCTCTTCCCACATGTTGGACCAAGTTAGGCCGACACCTTGAACTTCCTTCCGGGCTGCGTAAAGGCAGCCGTAACAGAAGCTGGTCGACATACTGAGACACTGAAAATTTGTTTAGAAATATACTGTCTAAAAATAGCCTATCGGTTCGTAGAATCGAATGAACTTTATTTATTTCTTTTCTCTCTAATATATACTTCGATTTTTCTTATCGCTTAGAAATAGAAAAGCTCGACTGCAGCTTATCGGTTCGTAGAATCGAATGAACTTTATTTATTTATTTTCTCTCTAATGTATACTTTGATTTTTCTTATCGCTTAGAAATAGAAAAGCGCGACTGCAGCTTATCGGTTCATAGATTCGAATGAACTTTATTTATTCCTTTTCTATTACTATTTAGAATTCTTTCACGCGCAAATGGAAAAGCGTCATCCAGTTTCCGAGCTGAAACGAGAGAAGGCTCGGGATTTTCGAGCGTATTTTTGGAAAGGCTCGTAGCACCAGCACGGTTAATTAACATTATTCAATGGATTCTAACTAGTTCCCACGCGACGAATCTTCCAGCCGATTTAAAACGCGTTCGGAGCGAAAGGAATAAAGGGATGCTTCAATTAGCCGATGAATAATTATATCGAGCCGGCGTTGGCATGCAAATCAGATGCGAGTCGACGCGATAATTCAGCCGGTGAAATTGAACGGACACTTTTCCGGGTGAACCGTAAATCGTTTCCTCTCCACGGGGGAAAGTTCGCACAAAAGGGCGCGCATCTTATCGCGGCCGGCGTAGTTTGCGAAAATGAATCGGTCGAACGCGTTATTTATCACGGGGATGCCCCCGCAACGGCGGAACGATAACTTACGATGAGAAGCTTATACCCGAGACCTAATACGGCCTCCATAGCAATGACAATGACGTACGGCATGAATGTCAGCAAAAACATTACCACCGTGGTGATGGCGGCCAGGCTCGCCGAGCTGCACACCGTCGAGATCATGTAACTGGAAATTGATCGGGATCATTTAGCTGAGGAGCGAGCCGCGCGAAGCACGTCGGAATATGTCAGCGGTTCATTTGGCAAATTGATTAACTCCGCGGAACGAAGATTAAAAGAATTTCATGGAATTCTTCGAGTAAAGAATTAATCGAGTGTTTCGACGCGTTCAGTGGTAAGAGGATCTTGAATGTTTTGTATTTTGTACTGATTTCTTTTGTTTATTTCCGTTGTAATGAATGAGTTTGGTCATTAACGATCACTAGTTTTGTGATGGAAGTTAGTAGACAATTATTGATTATTTTATTATAATTCTTATGTTACTCGATTGTCTAGTTGTGTAAATTGTCAAATGTTTTTATTTGATACTGATTATCTTGAATATTCTAATTGTTATCCAACTATTCGGTGGAGATTGTCAGTGATTATACCGGCTTACTATGTTAACATTGAGATTTGAGAATATTCGAACAGTGGAGTTAGTCAGTTCAGCGTGATGACTGATATGGAGAACTTACCAGAACGTTACAATAGAGAATGAGTAATCGATCATTAGGGTCAGAATTAAAAGTGGATCGGACTTCGGTAGAATCTTGCCGGCCAAAAGGATCAGCGCGATGGAAAACATCACGATCAGCAGCTCGATGAACGTGGTGATGAACCAAGCGACCGTGTTGCGCCAGGGTTTCAGACCCATTACGCTCATTACCTGAGAATGAAGGAATTTTAATGGTTTTTGTTTGTGTTTCTTGTATTTCTGGATTAATCTGGAGTTCGAGAATATTGTTCGATACGAAATTAGTGGTGAATGTTGGTTGGCTACCATTGCATTTTGCGATTCCCTCTCCCAAACGATGTGCCTGACAGCCGCACCCACGCACATCATCAATGCGAAGAAGAAACAGACTTGGATCCCTTGGGACTCGTACAGAGTAGTTTGGAACCTGTAATTCGATACGTCACTGCAGATCTGTATGCTTTCAAATTGCAATTTTCAACCCAATTTCTAATTTCTGACTTTGAATCTCAAATTTCAGAGTTTAAATTCTAAATGTTTCAACTTTCGAAGTTCAAGTGCCAACTATTTCAGCTCCCAAAGTTCAAATTCCAACTATTTCAACTCTCCAACTTAAAATTCCAACCATTTAAGCTTCCAAACTTAAAACTCCAAATACCTAAAATTCGTCAAACTTTCAATACAATTAGAAAAACAAAAAAACAATTTTTCCCAACAAATATTACAGGAATCCCATAAACACAGAAATCCGCAGTTTACAGTCGTCAGTATAAAATAAAAGCCAAGCTCACGGTACATCCTTCCAGCAAGGATAAGGCATCTGTTGCGTTACTGTTTTCCAATCCTGGCTCCTGCCGCTCTTCGCCGCGATAATGGCGCGGTCGATGGAGTCCTGGAGTTGCACGAACCCTCTGAGGTACCGCAAATGCTCAATGAAGCTGCTCTCCGGCCCAGGGATCCAGAATTGATTCTTCAACCTTTTCGTGGACTGCACGTAGTCGACGTCCATTCGAATCTTGTACACCACGTTACGCGGCAGCTGTTGATCCAAGGATCTCCTGGATCTCTCGGACTTGTTCTCCAGGAAGACAACGCCGGCCAAAAACTCCCGAGTCTCCATCAACAGTCGCGCCTCCGCTTCCATTTCCTCTTCGTCGCGGAATCCTCGCACTCGGTTCACCAGCACGCACTCCAATAAATCGTTCAGCATGCCGACCATCGTGATCAGATGCTTCGATTTCTTCAGTTGCCACGAGATTTCGGTGAAATTCATCTCCGATAAATCGCCTGGAACGGAGAAACGTTGTCCTGATGATTTACAATGGATTTTTAGGACTATTGATCTTTGATTTACTGGAAGCTCTTCACGTTGGAATTAATAGATGTTAATAGAAATTAGTAGAAATTAGTAGACCATCCAATATCTACCCAATATTGAGAACTACTTGAATTTTCATTCAAACTTCAAAAGACTGTCGCAATTTAGAAACTATTAGATTACTTAGACACCTGTTGGTTCACAATTATAATATCTATCACTATCAATCGATTAAGAAGTTCTCGATTGTTAATTGATAGTTCCACTCAAATTCTAATGGTATAAATAAATATTAACAATACTCACCGTCGAAATTCCCACCGCCGAACGACTTGATCGCGATTTTCATGACGTCCGAGGACATGTCCTGGAAGACGTTCAGACTGTCGCTCATCGTGGTGAGGTTCACCAGAAGGTTAAGAGACTTCTGGAAACTGTCCATCAGCATCCCGAAATTTTCCATCTCCGCGAAGGTCTTGTTGGCTAGCTTCATGACTCCGTTTATTGTTGTTGTATTGGGCGCGTAGAGGATTTGCCCGCGCAACAGCGGCTTCACGTAGGACCATATTATCTTCCCGCCTCCCATAGCGACGAAACTCTTATAAGTGTCTCTGCAAAAGTCAGCTGAACAAGAAACGCAACGCATTGTTAATCGAATCGTTAACAAATACAAACAAAATGCAAAGATTCGTGATGGTATAAATTTCATCTTATTTCCGACGAGATGAAGTCATCGATAACTTGTATCCATTGAATGAAGCTATCGAAGATTTTTAAATTTCTCAAAGAATAGTAACTAATACTAATTAATCAGTAATTAATCGTTTATACACACTCGGCAACGAATCGAGCTCCGCCCTGTCGTATTCTTTGCTGTTGTCCTCGATCTTCGAGATGATCTTGTACAAGTCGCCATTGTCCGACACCAACGCCTCGCCGCACAACATTTTGCTGGCATCTTCCAGGAACTTCGAAGCTTCGAAATTCAAAAACGTTCATTAATATTCCCTTCTGGTGGACTGTGAATAGGAATCCCTAAACCTTAACCCTACGTGGGCGAATGTCGACATTTTGCGAACGACTGATCTAATAACTTGAGCAATGGAGTGTATAGTTTCCTTTTCTCTATTGTTTAAGCATTCGATGTATAATCTAGCTTCATATGTTGCAAATTTTGTAAAGTCTAAGTTGTAAAGTTTGAGGTTTAATATTCAACTTTGTATAACGAATTAATATGATATATTGAAAGAAAATAGTTTCCTTGCTCAATGTATGCGCAACTTCTCGTCAAATCAATTTTGGAAAATGTCAACTGCAGCTCATTAGGAAATATTGAGTATTTCCAGTGAAAACCTGTGGAGTGCGAAGGGTTAAAAAACGTGGAACTCACTGGACATCGAATAATTCGCGTCCTCCGTCTCAGTGTTCGATTTCTGGGGCTCCGCCGATGGGATGTTAGATGAAAATCTCTCTTTGAAGAAAGGCATCAGCTCCGCTATCACGCCGATATTATCCACCACCGCCTTGCTCTCTGCTTCCGTCAAGTTCGCGTTGGCCAGTATGACCTTCACGTTAGCGCTCATCAACTGACCAGACGATATCAACATTACTTTCAATCATTTCCGTTGATCGAATAGAATCTCTCAGAAACCAATGCAGTTAAGTCGAGAACTCAAAAATTCAGAAAATTAATATTTTGTCTTCTGAAATGATTATACAACACATTCAGAAACTATAAAAAGGACGTTCTGCCATAGAACAAACGAAGGAACGAGTTAATTCTTTAATAATTAGACAGAATATCATTTACTCCATTAAAACTGAGAAAAATCAGAAAACATCGAAGAACCGACTCAACCGCATCTTCCGAGCGACTCAATTATTACAAGTTCGCAGTAAGCAGTCACCGTTTTGAAGATGTAATCGAAATTCAAGTTTTTGATCATCGCTATCATCATGCTCCGCGTGCGCGCGTCTTCGAGCTGGCAAATGGCGTCGCTGACCTCCTCCGCCGTGATCTGCCCGTTGAAGCGCAGCATCTCGTTCAGTTTCGTCGGCGAACAAACGGTGTCCTTCAAGCTGAAAGCTCTTTTCTCTTTCATGAACACGGAGATCATGTCGATCCTCGCCTGGCTCAGCGTCGACGCGACGTCGTTCGAGATCCCGATCTTCTCCACCAGGTACGAACTCACCGTGTCCCAGTTGTCGAACATGTCTCTGACAAGGTCTGAACAGAAAAATTCACCGGTCGTGACACCGAGCATTGAAATCTCCATCGGGAGCAGGATCTTTCGGATGTACATTTTATGTTAAGCAGGCCCAAGTTCTTGAAGATTTCCATCGTCTCCAGAGCTGCGATCATCCTGTGTATGTCGTTCACGATTCCTTGGTCCTCGATGAACGGCTGAACGTCCTCCGCTATTTCTTTCATCCTGCGAAGTTAAAGCGAATCACTGCAAATCACTTTTCTCATATTAATACAAGCTTCATTCAACCCAACTTCATAATCAATCGTATTAACGAACTACAGAGCTAAGGATTCGCTAAACCTTCGGTCAATGCAACAATTTTCCACGTTCATCTAAACACGTAGACCTAATCCATTACACTCTCGTTCAATGTTAAACTATTTCTAGATTCATCAGGTACCATTATCACTACCATTACCTTCAAGTCAAACTTCCAGTTCCCTCAGGAACACTGCTAAAAGTTGATCCCTCCAAAGCACAAATCAAAAGAGACCTCGCTAACTAGCTACCCTAAGACGTCTCTTCCCAGAAATCCCCCGATCAGACTCACCCGTCAAAAAGCTTGTCCACAGTCTTCTCCCTCAGTATGTTGACTACGCCATTGACCACTTCCGGAGCACCTAGAATATTAGAGACGTCGTCGAAGTCGACCATACTGGCTAGATCCAGCAGATCGCCGCCTTCGGTGGTAACGACGATCAGGTGATCGAGGATCTGCCTAAGCCACGTCATGTCCATCGCAGCTTCCATCCTCCAGCTCTTCAGACTGCGACTTATGAGCTTCAGATCGAGGCTCTGCGAAAGTCGATCAGCGACGCGCTGCAACGGGGGATACCCGGCCATCTTTGCGTCGTATCGAAGCAGCTTGCCAGCCTTCTTCGATCTGAGACGCTCGTAGAGGAGCGTCGCGTTGCGGCATTCCTCATTGGTCCAGCACAGAGAGCTGTTCCTGTCGTCCAAGATGGCGTTCACGTTGATCATGGCGCCGGGCAAGAACGCCTCCGTGTTCTTCGCCTCGGCAGGCTGCACCACGTCACTCAGCGGCTTCCAAACTTGAACGTACTTCTCCGACATCTTGCTCAGCCAATTGAGGTTCTTGTGGTACCTGGCCGTGTCCAGGACGAAGACGTTGCTGCGCAGAGAGTCCAGAATCCCGAGCGCCGCTAAAATGTATCTACGAAATTCGGAGGAGTCGGAACTTGTGTCTCGAGTTTGAGTCTGTTGTGGTTGGAAGTATTTTATTGGAGCATCCAACGGTTTGTGATCGTTTCTGATCGAGTTTTGAATGATGTCCAGTTTGATGCGTCAATTGGGAAACAGATGTTTTGTCTGAATATTTGAGAGATTGGTGCGGTGGACGAAGGATATTGAATGTGGAGGTTTTTGATAAACTGATTTCGAGGGAACTTACGGCCTCGGCCTGGAAAATGGCGGCTGGCCAAAGAAATTCCGGTAACACTGCTTGGCGGTGTTGCTGTAGGTTTCATTTTGGTAATCGACGATGATGTCCACCACGTGATGCAACGTGTTCTCCACCCCGGGTGTACATTGACGCAGGCTTTTGTCGCGGAACTGTGACTGCACGTTGATCTGGGAAAAGAGGATCGCAAAAATTAGTACTTGTTGAACTTAACACTAGGTTTACGGACATTTATTGTACATGAAAGTCCAGATTGAACTGACGCAGCAAATGAACTTAAACACGAAACAAAGCATGCAAACTGGTAGTGTAGCTCACCATCTTGACGGTCTCGTTCCATCGAAAATCACGGATCAGTACGTCGCGAATTGCCGATATGTTCATTCGACTCAGCTGGCAGGGGAGTTCCGAGTAGAGCTGATGGTTCGTCAGCTGAGAATTCAGAATATTGAGCGGAGTGCAGTCTCTGGAAGACAGAAAACAGGAGAACTCAATTTCTAAATACTTTCAATTTTCACTTTCATCAATCTTCAAACATTCTTCATTTTCTAAAATACTTCGTCGTCGCTTTCAATTCAATCAAATTTCTCTAGAGGTTTCGCAAACATAAATAAACTCGGCGATCGACTCACTCCTTTTCAAGATGGCGTCCGACGATCCTCATTAATTTCGTTACCGTCAAGTGAGCGAGTTTCCTTGGGTCCTGGAACAATTTTCACCGCTCTAATTATTGAACTAATTCACCAATGAACACTTTAAGATATAACCGACGAAGTTTGGATGATGCATTGACTCCTCATCCCCAGTTCAAAGGTTAATAAAATGAAATAAAAAGTCTCGACACACCTCTTTTCTATATTTGGCCAGGAAATCTTTGAAGGTGCCCTCCATAAAGGATATCCACCATGCCGGGACTTTCGGTTCCTTGAAGCCGCCCGACGCCGCGTGAACCACCGTCCACAGAGCGTGGTCCATCTTTTCCAGAAGGTAAGTCTCGTTGAAGTCTCTCGAGATGTTGCGGGACAGTCGGTTCTCCTGGAAACGTCGTTCGACAAAGGAAACAAAGAATAGCATACCATTCCTCATCGGAATAAGTGCTTGTCGCGTATCACAGGATTCATCGTAAATCGAAATTGCAAAAATAAGAAGGAAATAAACAGTATAAAGCCACAAGTAAAGCAGCCAGTTACAATTGACCGGTCCATATTTTGTCTCCGAAACATAAAAAATTCCTTTACCCAGGAAAAAATTGCAATGGCAGTCAAGATTATTTAAAATTGCACTACTATACACATTCTCCACGTTCGAATTAAAGCTACACCTGTAATAAAATAGGCTTCACAACGTTTATCTCTCTCCGCCGTTAAAGAGGAATATTAAGCATTTCTCTGTTTCGCTTTGTGCATCACAGCATTTCCGTTTTGCTTCGTGTAGCCAACCGGTTTCGCCGATGAGTGGCTCGATCGTAGAAGAGCACCGCTAGAAGAGTCACCGACGAACAGGGAACAAGAGGAAAGGGTTGAAGTTATCGCGTAAGGTCAGGCGATTACCTCGTTACTCGAGATGAAAGGCAGCGACGGCGGCGAATCGGTGCGGACGAAGTTCTCGCAGAAGTTCGCGATGCTGGACAGCCGGACCTTCTTCCTCGCGAAGTCGGGTATAGTTAAATATTGGTCGACGTCGCAGGGGTGCGCCTTGCCCAGCTCGATTAGCTCGAGGAAACGGTAGAGCTTGCCGGACGCGTCGAAGAGGAGGGTGTCGACGACGCTGAGCACGATGTTCGGCGTGTCCTCTATCAGGCTGAGGACGGTCTTCATTTTCGAGTGCTCGTAAATGTTCCGCAGCTTCTGCCAGACGTCCCCGCCGGTCATCAAATCGACCGTGGCGTCCAGAAGCTGGTAGACACGGACAAACTTGTCGAAGGCGTCCGGTGCGCCGAACATCTTCTCCAATCCCGATTGTCCCGGTCCGGCGTTCTTGGCGTCCGTTGCGTGCCGACGCGGCCAGGACCGTCCGATCTCGCGAATCTCCGCGAGGGTGTCGTTCGAGAGACCCACCCACGTCGTCGGATCGAGGACGTTCGATTTTACTGTCAGATCCGGTACCTCGGACGTGAGATTCAGTACGACGTCTATCAGTTTAACGAGCGACGCGCTCAGAGGAGTGATTGTCGGCGCGTTGGATTTTCGGTTGGTCAACGCTATCTGTAAGACGTTCGCGAAATTTTTAGGGAAATTTTGGGTATACTGTCGTTTATATATGTAGCGATATTGTGATATTGTAATATATGTTAATAGCCACACGCACGTAGTACGTAAGATTTAATACTAGTTATAGTAATTCTTTTGTTTAGACTATAGCCTTCGCCACAAAGCCGCTTTTGTACAACTACCCCCGAACATTGTACGGCCGAGGGAACATTTTTTGGAGAATATAGCAATATGGGAGTATGGTAATATGACCATATGGCAATATAGCAATGTAGCAATACAGCAATGTAGAAATATAGAAATATAGAAATGTAGAAAAATATTATTATGGAAATATAGTATTATAGAAAAATAGCAATATAGCAATGTACCGGTATATAAATATAGAAATATAGCAATATAGCAATATAGCAATGTACCAATATAGAAATATAGCAATATAGCAATGTACCAAAATAAAAATATAGCAATATAGCAATGCACCAACATGGTAATAAAGTAATACATTGATATTTTAATCTACTAACATAGCAATATAACAACATAGCAATATAATACACTATAAATCACCACAGCATATTGACAATAGACATCTGGATGCCATGAACATAACTGAACTATCGTTACTCACGTAGTATTCCTCGCTGGTAACAGACCTTAGCAACTGGTAAGGATCGAACGAGCATACTTCTTGGATGAACCGACTCCTATTCGCGGTGGACCAATAGGTGAGCGGGTCACGCGCGTTGCAGATCAATTTCCTCACGTTCTCGTACGAGAATGTATCTGTCCTCGCGCTGATCGCGATCACTTGAGCCATTAAACCGATCGTCTCCTCAGGATGAGCCTCAAGGATCTTCAACAACTGTCGCGCGTCGCCGCTCCCGACGAAGTCCCAGATATCGATACGATCGTCCTGCACCTTGACATCCTTCAAATTCTCCGCGACGTGAAGCAGAACCTCGGACAAACCCTCGACGATCAGCCTGTACTCGGACCATTCGTACGGTTCCGACGCCTAGATTGACCAAAGCATTGACCAGGTGCAATCAAAGAGAAATTCATTTCAATCAGAAAAACAGAGCGTCTTAAATAGTTTAATCCCTTATTTTGTAATAACGTGTCAAACTCGCGATACAAATTTCAAAGCAAATTCGACGAATTTACTTATTAATTTCTAACATGAACTAAGTATCACTTGCCTATTATTAATCTCTAACCTTCAGAGTAAATGAAAATTTCAAAGCAAATTCAACAAATCTACTTATTAATTTCTAACACAAACCATCACTTGCCAATTATTAATCTCTAACCTCCAGAGTAAACGTAGACGCAAAATATAAAATTCTTTTAATGTTCTAAATCATCAACGACACAATTGTTCCATCAGCAGAATTGAGAAGTAAACCATAAGGCAAGAAATCAAGCATCTCCCGATTCCCGATTCAATTATCGAATTCACTGAATGTCACCGTGAAATACTGAATGTCCACCTACCGGGCGGTCGGCGTCAGTTTCGTTGTAACCCTCCAAACTAGAGCGCAGCTCCTGAAGAAGGTTCAACAGATAAGCCCTCGAGAACGGGGCGTCGATCTTCACGTCCGTGTGCACGATGCTCCCGATGGTGTTCGCGAGATCGTAAACATCGCCGATCACCGTGGTCATGTACGATCGGTAACTCTTCGCCGGCGCCCTCCAATGCGACGACACGTCCAGGTAGAAGTTCGTGTAGTCGTTGAAATGGTCGGGGTCGAGGTCGCACGTGAAGTTCTTCAGGATTCTGTACTCGTCCGCCGTGAGACCAGTGACGGAGGTCGACCACCATGAGAACAGCCGCGCGCAGGAGACGCTGGTTTTATTTAGAAGCGATTCGGAGACACGTCGCTCCGTGTCGGGGTCGGCCAGCCCGTTCACCAGAGTCGCCAGAATGTACGGTAACCGCTTGTAATAGATTCTGATGGGACTCAGACCGTTGAAGCCCAGCAGCGACAGCCAATCCAGAACGACGAACTGATCGCTCGTCTGCAAATCTGCAAGCAGGTGTTCGATAATCTAATGAGGACGGAATAGAGGCTGCGATTGAGTCGCTCGGAAGGCAATGCGGTTAAGTTCAGATAACAGAAATCGAGAGAATTATTGTTTTGGCTTCTGGAATTGTTATGCAACATATTCGGAATATAAGGACTTTCTGAGCTAGAAGAAACGAGTGAATCCTTTAATAACTAAGAATATTATTTATTTCATTAGAATCGAGAAAAATCGGGAAGATTCTCAAACTCATTAACACTAGAACTACCGATCAGAGAAATTGACTTCTTCAAATTTTTCTATTGGAATTCTATTGAGATAATTGACGCATTTTCTTTTGTGTACTTATTAATTTCTTTACTAATTCCTCGGAGAAGCATCTGTTGTTTCCGTTAATCACTTTTACTCGATGTTCTCTCAGTTTCAAAGATCGCCAAGCAAATTCAGCTACTTCACTTACCATTGCGTAGAATATCGGACACTATCTTCACTGAGTTGTGAACGACATTAGAAAGGAACTTCAACGTAACCAACATTCGATCACTATTGGAAACATCCGGACTCCAGACGTTGCTGGCCTTGAGCTCACTTCGAAACGCTGGCACAACTTCATCGAGCTTCTCGTCGATCGTGATCAGAACGTATCTGTGTAATAAATTCCAGCTGTGTCAGTCTGCTTAACCAGTTAACTATGGAGTTTAGTTGGAAAAGCCTATCGTTCTCGCAATAAAATCGAAAAATGGAGCGTGTACTCGTCGAACGCAGGACGAATGCAAGTAGAGTATATTTTAATGAAAGGCCAAAGCGAAACAAAGAATTACATGTTTATGTGAAAAAATAGAGAATTCATCGCTGAAAGAAAATTAATAAATATCCACATATGAATACAAATTAACAATGCGTTCAATACTTTCAATAATCTCATCAAATGAACATGTTTTGTAACTTTCAACTTACAATGACGTTAAACTTTCACGCCTGAGTGTATAAAAGTACAAGTTAACGGATTACTTGATTTTATTCACCACTTTGAGTGCAGAATGAAATAAATCAACATCGTGAACGTTACAACTGAAAAACGATGATCGTACCCCATGTCGTCATCGGTTTTCTCCCAGCGCTCGTCGAATATGCTCTTCAGCGTCGAAAAGCCGCCGAGGACATCCGGCTTGCCCTGCGTCGGTCCGCCCAGCGAGTCCGACAGACTCTTTTCCGTGGCCATCAGCCAGTTCTCGAAGTTCCCTGACATTCTTCGGATCATCGAGTACAGGTGGACCCAATCGAACGGCGGCCGTTTGACCGGTTTCTCCGTGTAGAAGTAAGGATGGCTCTTCCATTCCTGGTAAAGCGTGTCCGGCTTGCAGCCGAGCTTCTCGATCTTCTCGATCACGGCGCGGCTGCCCTTGCGCAGCTCCAAAACGGCACCCACGCTCTGCGTGTGCACGCAGGGCCATTGCTTCTCCTGGGTCTTGTAATACTGCAGGATATCTATCTGACGGAACGAAGGCGAAGGCAACGATAGAGAAGCTTCACTCTGGACGGGTGAGTTGCGACCAGTGGACAAGATGTTTCGACTTATTTTAATATCGACTTATTCCTAATCGGACCATGTGACTTTGAACTTTTGACAGTTTGAATTCTTTGATTATTTCATATTGCATTTCCAACAGTTTTCTTGGGCTTTTAAAATTTGGGCCCTATGAACAGAACCTGTTATTGTTATAAGTGACTTTGAGTCTTTGAACTTTTTGAATTTTTTCTCTAATGAAAATGAGAAATTTTATAACATTCCTTCGATCTGTTACAATAACTGCTGCAATATTGGAATCTACAGAGTTCAAAGGGCTAGAGAGAAAAGTCTGAAAGTTCCCAGTGACCTTTGAATAAGAGGGATTCACATCTTGTCCACTGGTCGTAAGATCATTATCGAGGAGAACGTACAAGGTTAATCGGTTTTATTATGATAATATCGATCGCGTCGAGGATCAGATCGCGCATGTTAAAGAGGATGACGCTGAGCAAACTCGTCGTCTCGGGCAGCAACAAGTTAGGTTGATTCTCTTTGGGCTGTTGATTCGCAGTGGAAACTTTCAAGAGGACGGCCTGGACCATATCGACGATCATCATGGACGTCCAGCCGATCGAGGAGATGTTCTTCCAGCCGCTGCTCTCTTTGACGTTGAACAGAGGACTCTCCAACAGGGTGAACAGCTTGGAGGTCAGACCTACGCTGCAAAAAGATCGAACTTATCAATGGACAACGCTTTACTTCTCTAATCTGCTAACACTTTAACCCTTTGCGGACGAGTCGGACGGCATTTATTGTACACTTCATTCTATTATTCCTAAAAGAATCGATGCTCGTTTATTTAGATTGTGGAAGCTAGAGATTTGATAGTAGGTAATTGGGGTACATGTCAGTGTACATCAATCAAAATCGGCGTAAATATTTACAAAAACTAGTGTCAATGAGTGATGAACAATGGATCCTATCGATCGGAATTCCGAAAGAAATCACAGCGCAGTTAATTAGTTAATCGTGTTCAATGTTCGCTAACCTGATCTCGAAGCCATCTCTGACGGATAGATCGTTGGTCCACGAGTTCCGGAAGTCTCTCTTCAGTTTCTGCAGGTAGTTCGAGCGGTTCGATAGATCCTTCTGATGAATCAACGCGTCGACGTGCCGGTAGAACTCGACCGCTCTCGCGTCGAACTGGTGCCAGTTGAACTCCGCGTCCTTCGGCGAAAGCCCTAGCTTGATCGCGGTCACGTTCAAGTCCAGGTAGCTCTCGACGAGGCTCGATAGACGGCAGATGAGCGTTTTCAGCGCGGTCGCGTTCGAGCCGCTCGGAAAATTTACTAACGTCAACGAAATCGGGTACACGCAGTAAGTCGCGGTGAAGTTGTCGTACTCTAAAATTTTCAAAACCTGCGGATAGAAGTGTTCGTTCCGAGATAAAATTAAGGGACGAGTATAGCCACGGTACGTTGAGTTAACCCGTTACGCGGGGAGAACGCACGCGGACAAAACGATGGAACAAGCGTTTTCTATGTTATACTGTGGGAAAAGATAGAACTGATTATACTGTAGAAAAAGATAAAACTAATTATACTGTAGAAAAAGATAGAACTGATTACATTATATCATAGAAAAAGATAGAACCAATTATACTGTAGAAAAAAGAATGTTTTCCCGGTAACTTTAACGCTGGAACTAACGAGCAGTTTCTACAATTGATATATAATCCTTATAAAGTCTGTAACAGGAAGATTTTGCCGGTTTCTTCGGATGTTCGTATAGTACTCCGATAGAACTGTTCATTTTCAAGATTATTTCAAGACCGTTTCGCCTGATTTTGCACGGTTTCTTTAAAGAATATAGAAGTTGCAGAATTCTTCACCGACCTTAGACCTGTCCGCCGCGGTCAAGTAGAAGGTCTCGATCAGCTCTGCCTTGTGTCGCTTGACTTCCTCCACCCAACCGTTCGGGCTCCTGTTCAGATCCTCCAGGATAGCCTTCAGCAGCAAATCAATGGATTTCAGGTGGGGCTTCAGCGTGGGGTACTGGATTTTGATCTCCTTCGCTGTTATCACCAGGTGAAGCTCGAGACTGGAAAATACGGGTAACAAATAAATATATAATATTATAATATTACGAACATTTCCTCGCGTCACGATCATTCTATGCAATTTCGCGCTTCTCCGTATGAATATTGAAAATACGTGAATATTTTCATAAATGAACAAAGACCTGCAATCTGGTAACATAGTCATTTGCAGCAGAATTCTACTCACACGTTCAGTCTGCCTTGAGATTCGGTGTGCCTGAACGCATCCTTCCACCGTTGGTCGTACCCGAAGACCGACCAATCCGGATCCGGCCTGCTCGACGAGTTCATGAACGACATGAAATCGTTCACACTGCTTAGCAATCCGGTCAGATTAAATTTCTCCATGTCGGCTTGTCCCCCGAATATCAAGAGTAACGTTGTTATCGCGATGTCCTCCACCTGCGGAGCAGAATCGATTGGGAAACGTCGACTTAACGCTTAATTGTTAAGTGAGGAATATTCATTAAGCGGCAATATTTTCTATTTTTGCAGAAACTAGAAATGAACTGTGAATTCTTCTCCTTTTTCTACGAAATAATTCGTGATCGAGTGGTTTCATCAGTCACGGTCGCGAAAGAAATCATAGGACAAACCGTAGGTGATAGGTTAAACGATTCTACGAAGGGTATACAACAAAGTGCGCACATTTTTCGCGAATTTCTCGAGCTCGATGCTTCTGTACGCCTCGCCGATGAACTTTTTCCCAGCTCCGCTGCAAAGTATCTCGCCGATGCGCTGAACATCCTTGGAATCGAACACTTTCTTCAGCGTCTCCTTCTCGCAGAAGTGATCCTCGACGTTGGATTTCTGCATGAATTCCTAGGAACACGAAGGGAAATTTTTTCAACGATCCCATCGATAAATACGAGCAACCCTTTGATAACATGCCACTCCCACGGTTCGAGAATTCAGAGAAACTTGAGAAGAATGCGTGAAGCTTTCTATCGATTATTGGCTTAGCAAACGTGCTTCTCTTAATCATGGAATGAAAATCGGATATCTTAACGGTAGAACTACCAGACGGGTTGCAATGGCTAATTTCAAGGTTCTCGTTTTGCTATTATTAAGATGACAGGTGCTTTCGTGAGAAATTTCAAAATAAATCCATGTACTCGTGCAGCAGTAGGAAGCTCTTTGAATCTCAGGAAACCTTTCCTAATTTTTATAACAGATTATAAATAGTCTTATCGCTCGGTAGTTCTACTGTTAATCATTCAGCAGCAGTTGATCGTTTGAATTTAATCACTCGCATAGTTTAAATACAGCCTCTAACTTTCGAATCTTCACCGTTTTTCGTACTAGCTCTTCGTTCTTAACACTTAGCCAACGTATTGCCTTTTATTCTGTTTATCCTTTCTTTTGTTGCTTAGTAAGTCTTGAAGTCGGATTATTTGCAGTCTATCAAATGCGGTTCTTGTTTTTACAAAACACAGTTTCTAACCGAATCGATTGAATGAGTTCAATCGAAGATAATGGAGGAGGTTGTAGTTATAGTTCTTTCTAGGCGGTCGCCTAAGTGTTAAGAATTAACTTCGTTACTTAACAACCATGTTATTCGAGGGTCGCCTATACCAGGGGAATAAATAAAATAAGACTATTAATATTGACCTCCAGTAAGTCTAATCTCGAGAACGCCTGCACGAATGTTCGATAAGTACTAGGATCCACGTCCGTGAGTAATTGTTGCACGGTGTCCTTGTTGTTCAGGGAGATATTGTAGAGCCTGTGTTCTAGATCTCCGTGAATAATGGCCGCGTGCTGGACTGTTCTGACTATGATGTTCGCGTACGCGATCGCGAAACCCAGCGGGTTCGCGATGTTCCGGGAAAAGAATCGCTTCAGACCATCCTCGATTTCGGGGTCCCTGTGAAACAAGCAGAATAATTTAATAGCTTCATTGTATCGTTTCCTGGAACACTCGATCTCCATCGAAGTTTTCATTCTTTTCTCTAGGCTGCTAATTTCACCGTCCGCTGCAGCGAACCTGGCACTCGTGACGTCGCAGGGCGGAGACAGTGGCTCCGAGAACTCCAATCGCGAGTCCGAAAGCAGCTCTCCCCACTCTTCGTCGCGCGACGCGTGCCAATCGGGCGTGCGCTTTCGAATCTGACCGCTTAGACGAGAGCGCCAAGCTCGCTGCAACGTAGCTTGGACTGATATCTCTCACAGATGATCGCAGTCAGTATAACCATAGCATTGTAACGTATCAATGTGTCGTTTAGGTCGTTGAGCTGCCATTTTTTTTCATGGTACGTATCTTAACCAAATAAACCGTGCCGGAACAATAAAAGAAACTTACAGATTGAGGTCGTTCTTGTGGCGATCCAGTATTTTCATGGCCAGTTTCGTTCCGCTCTGTAAAACGACGATGCTGGCGTCCAAAATTCGCGTCAGTTTCTTCGCGTTCTCTACGGAGAAGGACATAGATCGCATCGCGCTCTTAATGCGTTGTATCACAGTGAAGAAATCCCATGAGAAACTCCTCGGTTGATCTCCTATCATCTCTTTTATTAGCTCCAGTAGTTTCTGCAGTCTCAGGAACGCCTCGCGGGCGATGGGCCAGTCGTCCTCGGACGAGAAGACGGGATTCAGGATTTCTAACGTCTTATTCACGCTGAAAGAACATTCCGAAGGAATGGACAATTGAATCGAAGTTATCTACGCTTTGTCAGGAAACGATTAAATCCACTTATCTATTATCTCAATATTAACGTAATCGTGCAATAAAATAAAAACCATTTATCTCTTATCTAAATCAGTATTCGCGTAATCGTGTAATAAAATAAGAACCGCTTATCTCTTATCTAAATCATATTGATTTAAATTAGTTCCCAATTAGTTCGAGTAATCACGGTAATTCTACCGTGTTTACAGGAAGCTTTCTCGTACACAGAAATGGCTACTCACAACGTGAGATCTATCTCCCTGAACGTAACGTTCTTAAGCGCCATGATCATCTTCGGCATCCACTGCTGGATCCTTAGGTACTCGGGGATGAACTTCTTCGAAGTCTGCAGGTCGAGGATCGTTTCCGCTGTCCGTTTCATATCCAGGAAGAAATCGTAGTCCCGAAACTTGGCCATTACTCGGTCCACCATCTCCAACAGACCGGAGAAGTCCAGATGTTTGGACAAACTTCCGAGGATGTCCGGTATCGTGTCCGAGTCGATCCCGCAAAGCATCTTCGAGACCTGGGCATAGTTCTCCTCGTTCGGCAGGATCAGATACATCTTCAAGCTATCCGGCGAGCAAATCACCCCGTCGATGTTCGACGAACCGAACGTATCGATCAGCTGAAATAAAAAAGATACTCCAAGTGCATCGTCGCTCGCGCGAGCATAGATTCTTCGGATTCAATTCGCGGACGCTGCGTTCACATCGAACCCAAGAACACTAGCTTGTAGGGGAAGATGTAGAAGTTATAATTTTTAGAGAATTAAACAGGGGAATTTTCGAATTTAAGTCAATATAAAGCATCTTGTAAAATTCGAATAGATTTATATAGAAGAATTTGAATACACTTATCTCAGCTTCAATTCTCAAGTTAACACTAGAACTACCGAGCATTTGATACGATTAATATGCAATTCCCATAAAAATTGTAACAATAGATTCCTTTAGACATTCATTATAGTACTCTAGCGACACTATTTATTTTCAAAATCACTTCGAATATTCAATGCTTCGAAGATATCAATAATTAGTAAAAAAAATCGAAACTAGTCATTCTGACTGGTAGTTCTAGTGCTAATAAACTTGTTCTAGTTTTCCCTAGTTTGATTAACTCAATAACTTTCTAAATTCTATTCATCTTAACCTTTGTCAATATTTCAAGACAAAACGTTCATATTCACAAGACTAGGTCCTAAACAAATGGTTTAATCCCTCGAACAGCAAGAGATCGTAGTTTCGTTTTCTACTAATTAAGCAATCGACATGCAATTTAGCTTCATCTGCTAAGGGTTTTCTTTATGTCAATGGATCTTCTGGAAGGGTCAATTTAATTTATTCCCTGGGACAATACTAACGTATAACAGTTTGATGGAGGACTCGAACAACTCGTCGATCAGACCGTCGCGCGCGTTCGGCATCTGCTCGCGGAGGATCCTCTTGAGCTGCTCGTGGTTGCTGAAGAGATCACCCAATCGAATGCCGCGATCTAGACGGCAATGAATTCGTTGAATGGTCTAGCTAGGGAAACCGATAGGTTCGAATTCGTGGGTGGGAACGAACTGACGAGGTGTCCCTACCGAAGAGTGCCTTGTTTTCCGGCTTCGTGAGTATCTGCGCCATTGACTTCAGCAGCTGAATACTGTTCGGCAGGGTCTTCACCGCGGAGAGGATCGTCCGGTTGTCGAACATCCGCTGGAACTCGCCCACCAGTGGACCTAGGCTGTTCGCGATCGTACAAACACATTGTCAGAAACAGGTGACTCGACGCTCTCGCAATGACTCGTTTGGAGCAGCGGTTCTTAACCTAGCAATCGCGAACAAAAGGTCGTTTGTCAATCTTTAACCTTTGCGGACGAATGTCGGGTTTTCCTGAGATCAAACGTTCATATTTGGAATAAGTTGGAAACAAATGATTGAAGTACTCGAATAAGAAATCAGTGTACAGTTTCCTGATTCTGTATTGTTTAAGCATTCGATATGTAATTTAGCAGAATTTGCAGGTTTTGTATACTTTGAACAGTCTTCGTACGCAAAGGCGAATGATTTTCAGTATTTATATACGTATTGTACGAACCTTAAAGAATAAAATATTAATAATACCAGTAATAAGATTGTGTTATTCAGTTAGGAAACGAAGGTGATCCGTATAATACGTAAGTACCCTTATTTCTTACGAATTGTCGATAGTAAAATATTACACGAGCTTAGCAGCGAAAGTAAATGGTACGCCGAGGGGTTAAAGGGGTCAGCGTCGCCGAGAGAATATTTCGAACCCGACCGCGTTAGAAATTCGTTGCCGTTACTCGATTCGTTTTTCATTGCATTGTCAAATAGACTCGAATTTCCTTGGTGTTTTCCAACGCTCGATAAATAAACCAACGGCAACGGCTCTCTCCCATAATTATCCGCGGCGTAATTGTCGGTCAAACGAATTCTGTGTACGCAACAAATTTCCGTGCGACAGTGTACTTTTGCGGATTCAACCCACTCCCCGCTGATACCGCGTAATTACTGTGCCGGAAAATCGTTCGGTAAATTCAAAAATCGAACGCGCGCACGCACGCCGTCTCAGGCGACGTTTACGCGCGCGTGTAACTGGATGATCCGTAACCGTGCAGTGACAGAACTGGGAAAACAACGAGTTTACACGACGGGAATATATAAAAATCGCGCGGCAACGTTCCTTCTGTTTACGAGCGCGTCAGTTTGTTGTATCGTCTACTGGATCACCCTGTACAGTAATGCGGTGTTATGACGAAAACAAATCATCGTATCCTTGGAACAATAACAATGCCCACGGTGCATTTCCGCGATTTATTTCGATAATCAAACAAATTGAAAAATATCGAATTCATTCCGCTGAATATTTGACTCGCGTGGTCGGAAAAATTGCGTGGTACTTTTGTAACGGCTTTTATCATATTATATTCATTACTATGATTACTAATTACTATTATTAAGTTTGCTCAGATATACAGTGGCAAAGAAAAATCAGATCGTTTTTGGAATTAACTCCACGAAATACTACAATATATTCAACACTGTACATTAACCCTTTACACTCAGAAGTTGACTAAAAATATTTGAACATTTTCTGATGAGATAAAGATGATATTTTATGAAACTGAAGAGAAATCGCGTGTATATTGAGAAACAAAGCTATTTATTTCAATATTTCTCAAATTGATGGGTTATACAAGGTATAATATTAAATATCGAATTTTATAGTTTTACTGTATGAAATCAAGTGGTGAATGAGTCACCTCTCGAGTGCAAAGGGTTAAATCATTATTATAATAGAACAGCACTCGTTTAATCACTCTAACCAAGAACCCCTGAATATTCTGAATTATTTATTTCTAAAGAATACCTAAAAAATGGTGCTGATTATTTCACAGTATCCTCTCATATAGTATCCTTCATATATAATAACAAAATCTTCAAGCTTTTATTACATAAGAAAAATTCCAAAAACAATCAAGAACTTCTGAAAGCCACTTGTATCCATATATTCAAGCAGTCAATCTCAATAAATATTCAAAGATCAAGAACCAACGCTTACTTCGAATATTTCGTTTAACGAACGATTCTCAGGTGAGACGCGGCGCAGGGAAAGGGTCGCGATGGGGTCGCGAGACGCGCAGTCGATGAAATCGTGGCCGCGACCGATCGCGACACGATGGAAATAAAATGACGCGAGGTTGATATTTTCGGAACTAACGTGGCGTTCCTGTAAGAAGGGACTTCTTCGTATTCCGGAAGGGGATCGCAGGGATTCCCGAGGCTGCAGATGAAACTCTGGACGAATGGGAGCAGGCCATCCCCCGGCATCGACCTCGCAGGAAATTGGCAAGTCGGATGGTACTTCGGGTCCATGTTGTCGCGGATCGTGTAGAGGATCATGAACACGATCACAGGCCATACGAACACCAGGGCCAATATCCCCTAAACATTGGAATTTGCGGTGCCGCATTTAAAAACCTCCCCTTTGGTTATGGGGAACGACTTTCGACTGAGAAATGTCGCTGAGGGATAGTTACCGGCTGACGTTTCCGGACGATGTAGTTCTTCCATAGCAGCAGCCCGATCTGATCGACCCTCATTTTGCTCGGATTAATTTGAACCTGCGAATGTAAGAGACGTTGTTTTGATATATGATGCTTTGTGTTGGTATTGAGTGATTTTTGTGTTTCGTGTTGTGTTTAATGTTGGTTTGGGTTTGATATTTGATGTTTTGTTTAGTAATATTAATGTAGATGTTTGATATTTCGTGTTGTACTTAATACTATTATTTTAGATAATTCATATTTCATATTGTACTTGATACTATTAATTTAGATATTTGATATTTCATATTGTACTTAATACTATTATTTTAGATAATTGATATTTCATATTGTACTTAATACTATCCATTTAAATAATTGATATTTCATATTGTACTTGATAGTATTAATTTAGATATCTGATATTCCACATTACATTTATCGTCATTGATTTAGATATTTGACGATACACTCAATAATTTGTGTATAGAAGACATTTAAGAAATAGTCTTGCTTCCCAGTGGAAGCAGAGATCTCTCCGAAATTCCGAAATGTAATAATCGTCCAACGTTCATGTATTTCATTTTCTCAAGGAGCCTTAAAGAATTTCGATGAAGTACAATAATTCCATAGGATCGTGGATATTTGAATTGGTCTCAATGAGTTCCAAATACTTCCAAGTGGTCTCAGATATCATTACACAATAAAAAATACTACCGAGCACCCTAATAGGACTATAAAAGAATATCCGAGGCCCTCGAAAAAACTAAATGGACCATGAAGTCTCTCGGAGAGACTAAAAGTACCTCAATAGTCCTTGAAAACCGTTTCGCGTCAAATAATCGTAAAAAAGCCATTGACAACAATTCAATATCCCTTCAGTCGATTACATCAATAATATCAGCGATTTATCTCCAACAATAGAAAGTTCTTCACACAAACAATTTTGACATTTTCCGTGAACCTTTCCCACGTTCAATTCTCATTCAAAATCGAAAAACATCCGACACGCAGAACGACAGAAGGAAAACAATTCGATATCCCTTCAGTCGATTACCTCAATAATATCAGCGATTTATCTCCAACAATAGAAGGTTCTTCACACAAACAATTTTGACATTTTCCGTGAGTCTTTCCCACGTTCAATTTTCATTCAGAATCGAAAAACGTCCGACACGCAAAACGACAGAAGGAAAAGCTCGCTCGATATTTCGCGTGGCGAACGAAACAATCCTTCCCACGTTCGTTTCAATCAGTTCCGCCGTTTTTATTCGCTCGGACAATTTGAGCCAATCATTCGAAAATATCCTCGGCGCTGAGTCGCGGAAACAAAGGAATCGCCGAATATTCTCAACGACAAAAAGAGACGAATCTCCCGAATGAATTTTCCTCTTTTCCGCCGGGGACCCGAGCAATTTTCATCCGCCGTTCGGGAATAACCGAAGAATCGTCCGCGATCCATGCATCACGATCGAACGGCGAAACCGCGCGCGCGCGCGTGCTCGCGCTGCTGCACCGCGGAGGGCAGAACAAATATTTGAAGAGCGTAACAAGCGTGCCTGTCGATACACCGGCGACCGGAAATGCGCCTCACTCTGTCGCGTGCTGCGCCGGGGGAAAACGGGACAATGAAACCGAGCGGATTGCTTTCGTTGGAGAACGAAACCCGATGGTCTCGCGCAGCCCCGGCATAATAACAATCAACGCGCCGCCGGACCTGTATGCAATTATAGCGTTCGACGATTTTCAGAAAGCAATGGAACGAACGTGCTTTGTTATACATTCACTTTCACTTTCCGCGGGACGCGCGAAAATTCATTCCACTCGCGCTTTCTCTAACCTTGTCAACGGAAAGAATGCGAACGTTTATTTGTGGCTCGTGAACCGCGGGTTTCGTTGCAACGAATGGTTATTTCGACGCGGCTCTAATGTTGTTGAAAAGAGTGACTTCCTTCGAATTTCCTGGTGATACTGTCAATATATTAACCCTTAGCACTCCAAGTTGTTTTGTAATCTGCAACTAATTTTTATAGTATTCCTAGCGAAAATTAGAAATATAACATTCCTTCCATCTTTTATTTTCCTTCTTAGCAAAATTTGGATATGCGGAAAATCGAATAATTTTAGTTTCTTTAAGATTCATTGAAATATTTGATATCGTAACTGGTGCAATATTGGAGCCTACAGAGTTCAAAGGGTTAAAATTCATTTATCATCAGCCTCTGGCAATAAAAACAGCATTCTCTTTGTCAGTGCAAAATTTGGATGCGTGGAAAATCGAATGATTTTAGGGTAGTTTCTTTAAGATTCATTGATATATTTAATATTATAACCGGTGCAATATTGGAGCCTACAGTTTAACTATGCCACTTCGCTAATTACAGCATTGAGAAAAATATAAAATTTAGTTCGAATCGATTATCGATTCAAAATATATTACATAACAATATATCTGAGGTTTTCTATGTACAGCGATATAAATCGACCTCAGTGAAAATCGCCATCGCAATTCAGTTTTCTGAAAATTAGCCGGTACGCAGTGTGTTAAACACGGAATAATCGTAACCGAGAAATTGAACGAGAAATGGAAAAAGAAGAGCGCGACGCAGCGGCGAATCCGTTCGCTCGTTACGCAAACCTGCGCAATTTATCCGCACGCGATCGTTTATTAAACAGACAACGACGAGCCCGCGTATAAATCGTTGACTATTTATTTTACAAACATCCCGGCGAACGTACCGCGGAAAAATCGTGGGTGACTGATTTATTCAGCGAATCCCCCTCCCCGCGGCCCGGCCCGATTGTCGTTCTTCCGTCCCCGGTCCCGTTTCAATTATAAAATTAAAGCACGGATCGGCCGGCGTTTCGACGATTTCCGCCGAACGGATCTCTCGGTTTCCGCGGCCGCCGTATGAATTATGAAATTAAAATCTCTCAAAATCACCGATAATTTCCCGTAATCCTTTGTCCACTTAATGAGAAAAGCTACGATAACCGTCGAATTTTTCGGCCGAACAATCAGCGAATTGTTTTTCGGAGAACCGCTATATACGCGTCGACACATCGATCGCAGTTTTCAATCTCGAGTAAATAGTCGATACGATTAAAAATAACCGGTTGTTAATTGAAAGCCTCCGTCGAATTCAGCTGAACTTTATTACAGGAAATATTGAATCAGCGAAAGAGTTTCCTCGCTTTTTCAAGGAAATTCGAACGGAAACTCCGCGCGGAACACTAAAACGTTGCGCAGTGTACTGGCCATTCTTTTCCATTATCTCATTTCTCGAGTAACTTCATTCTCCTCGGAAAGCTTTCCATTATTTTCGGAAGGCTTCAGATACGTTTAACAAGTCGCCAACTTCTCCGTTCTCCCTCGTTCAGAGAATGCTCGTGAATATTTCAAAAGAACGAAGGGAAGATCCGTCGAAGTTACGGTTGTCGCGCGAAATCTACAGAAATCGTTGTCGAGCCTTGAAACGTTTGAAGGAAAATTTAAAAATCGGACAACGTTTTCGACGGTGCTGACGTATTAACCCTTTGCACTCGAGAGGCGACTTTCAGTCGCCGGATGATTTGATACAGGAAAATTATAAACTTTGTATACTGCATCAATGCGTGAAATATTGAAAGAAAATAGCTTTGTTGACTAATTTATGTATGATTTCTTGTTAAGTTCACTTTAAAGAATCTCGTCTGCATCTAATTAGAAAGTATAATATTAAGTTAAATATTACAATAATATTAGAAACTATAATATTAAGTTAAATATTACAAGTGTAAAACTTTCGACTGCAAAGGGTTAAACAGCCATAGAAAATGAAGTTGCAAAAGCTGAATTAAAAGCGGATCGCCAGAAGACCTTCAGGCCTGAAGGGAACGCGGCTTTTGTAATCGGCTTCGCCGTAAATGCGACGTTTCCCTTCTGTGGGAGCATCATCGAGATAATTAGATGGGCGCGTACGAAACTGCCGATTACAGGCAACACTTCCTGCTACGGTGGCAGGGCTATATTAAAAATTGTCGAAGCCGCGTATTCGACGGGCACGACAACTGTTTCACAGCGTCGGGCAAGAAACACAGAAAGATTACAAAGAGAAATAATCACCGTCGATGGATCGGTATCGCGTGATCATTTATTTCTCGCGCGAATGACACCGCGTAAATGCCGCTTCGTTCGCGGCGTTCATTGAATCTCCCTCCAAGAACGTTTCGTTTCTCGCGAAGCCTCGTTAACGACGGTGTTTACCGCTGCTAGTTAGGTAGAACGGATCCTTATGAAACACGCGTGCGAGGGGTTAATTACTCGAGTAAAATTGGGAAAAACAATGGCGGACGTTTTCATTCGAAACGTATAATGTAACAAGTTTCATTTCTAACCCTTAGCACTCCAGGTTGTTTTGTAATCTATCAGCAACTAATTTTTATAATATTCCTAGCGAAAATTAGAAATGCTATAACATTTCTTCGATCTTTTATTTTCCTTGTTAGTAGAAAATTTGAATGTGTGGAAAATCGAATGATTTTAGGGTAGTTTCTTTAAGATGCATTGAAATGTTTAATATTAAAACTGGGGCAATATTGGAGACTACAGAGTTCAAAGGGTTAACACTGAAACTATCGAGCAGTTTAACCCTTTGCACTCGAGAATATTTTTCTCGAGAAATGTTCATTATTTCCTGATGAAATGTCAATGATATTTTCTGCAATTAACATAAAAAAATACCTTAAATAAATTAAGTTATCTGGTAATTTTAGTATTAAAGTACCTTCTACTATCTATTCTACGTGCCATAGTATTCATTTCTTCAATCGAGCACTGTCATTGTACACACTAACGAATATTTACATAGATCACACTCAAGTTTCATTTGTCTTTAAATTATTACCAGCCTACTTGTATGTTTTCACTATATTTACCTCCCATATCCATTCCACACTCTATCCTATTCATTCTCCATAGCTAAAAAATATTCAAATCAAATTTCTCCTTGAAATCTTACGAATCCATTCGCAATTCTTTACTGCATTCGTTTCCCGCGTCTATTCCACGTACCATCGTTCATATCCGAAAGCGCCGAGGTTCCCGTTCAACGGATTCACGAAAAGATTCGCGAGATTTTGATCCGGCGCATCATCCGTTGCATAATCGGCAAGAATCTATCGAGTCACCGCAGCAGGAGCGTATTAAGAAGATTCGAAACCGTCGTTGCTCGCCGGCGATCGGCCTCGAAACTGACACTCGAGCCACGCACACCAGCACGGCCACATACCCGTCATTATTCGGGTTCAAGATTACGAAGATGCGGAATAATTATTGATTTGGAAACGCCGCGGCGGCGCTGTCATTTCGCGTAATCGCTGACATTACGCGTTTGCGAAAGCCTTGGCGCATCTCAGTCGCGGCGACGGGACGGCGAGAAGAAAACGCGCCTATCGCGGAGGAAACTGTGCTTTGCAGAAGGAAAACAGATTGAACCGGTCTCATCTGCGACATGGAAACGCGGGACAATGAGTAACGTGGGAAATATTCCTGCCACGCAGGATTTTCGTCGATGAATCTCCGTTGCATCGATTTTCTCGCTTCGATGTGAACAGCCCTTTGAACTTAACCCTTTGCACTCGGAAGTATTTCGTCAGAAATATTTAACATCTTCTAACTAGGCGAAGATGATTTGAAATTAACTACAATAACTGTGGAATTGAAATGTTTCGCGAAAAGTTTGACAAGCAGGACTGACACGTTGTCTGGAGATATCATAGGAAATGAGCGATGCGATACATCTAATTGCAGTGATGCGTTACTTCCGTGACATTTCGCTAAGTTAATCAGTTACAGTGGCCGCCAAGCTAGTCGTATAAATCACTCTGCTGATTGATGGCAACGAATGGTTTCCGTTAGGGGCAGTTTATTAACTTTTATCGCCAGGCTACCGATGTTTACTCTGACGATGTAAATCCGGATAAAGGTGTCAGACGCGACCTTGAACCAAATTACACCAACTTGCGGCGAATGAACCATTCGATCATCCACCATGGGGACACATTTCGCACTACCATCTTATATCCTACTCTAATAAAACAGGAACGATCCACTTTCCATTATAATAATCAAGGAAAAGCTTCTATTGTCTTATCTATATACTTTCATACATATTTTCTCCATTCCCGAAAAAGTCTGGCACAAAATAAAACATATACGAACGAATAATCTGCAAATGCTCAATGGAAAATTATAATTCTAAAATTATAATTATTGCAATTGACCTGGAATCATTTACCGATCTCTCATTTCGTTTCTCGTTAAACATGTCTGGTAAACACTGAGACTATCAGACTAGTGAAAATGAGAAATGCTATAACATTTCTTCGATCTTTTACTTCCCTTCTTAGTAGAAAATTTTGATGTGTAGAAAATCGAATAATTTTAGGGTAGTTTCACGCCAGAGCGTATAAAAGTTTATGTTAATTAATTACTGAATTTTACTCGCCACTTTGCTATCCAAAATAAAATAAATCAACAAAATGCCAATATATTGGTATGCGATTTCAAAGTCACACAAGCTTATAGAGGGTTAAATTAGTTTAGAAATCTTCGTCGCGAGTCTCACTCGTCATCGTACGGCAAGGGGTTAACGAATACATCCATTTTCGTCGCAAACGAGAGACGATTACGGAGATATTCCTCGTTCAACCGCTCTTAACGATTCCCGTCGACGCGGGAAGACATTCTCCGTTGAATAATCCCCGGGCCGCAATAATTACAAGCATCGAAGCCGGTCGATGGAGAATCGCTCATCGTTCTTCCGCGTCGGCGGCCGACCGCAACCGTCCTCCCGGCAAACTGCGACCGCTCTTTCATCCGCGGTCTCGTGGAACAAGGAGAAACGAAAATCCCCGTGAAATCAACATTATTCAACGTCAAATCGCCGCGAAGCCAATCGCGTCACGTTCACCGGCGCAGCCATTCGCGGCCCGCCCGATGGAATTCGAAATCGAGAACGTTGAACGACTTCCACCTGTCTGCTTCTCCGTTTTTTTCCATTTCGAACTACGCCCGTGCAATTTCTCTGGAGCTTCGGGAAATTTTTATAGAGGAAAACGCGGCAACATGACCCTCTGCTTGTATATTTTACGAGACTTGATTCACGAATGAAACTATTCGAAATTTTTCAGTGAAATGTAGGTGAACTAAGTTACTCGCCTCGAAAGGTCAAAGTAAAAGGAAAATGAATTGAATTTACTGTGTATTACAATTCATTGTTTTCGGTAATCTTAGAAGTGAGGATAGAGATCATTAAGAAATCACTTTTAGTGGAACTTTGAGGTTGAAAGTGAGCAAATAAGGTTTCTTTGTTTGTATACAATTAATTTCGCAATATTTCTTTATCAGTCTACTCATTAAGTGTTGATTAGATTAGTATATATAACGTTGGTTCATCCAATTTCCAGAAAATACTGAATGAATTATAATAATTCGATTTGTTTGACGTCACCGGTGACCTCAATGGTTGTTTACTTAAAAATCCCCACAATCGCGACAAGTGATCAACGAAAGATTGTCCATTAAAATCGCATAGAGTCATCGATTCGTCTTATCATTGATCATCGTCCGTGTCGCGAAATGAAAGTTAAAATATTGCAGTTTATCAATTGTACGGGGCGCCACGGATAAATGAAATCGACTGCACGATGTTTCCGATATTAAAAATCGACGAGAGAGAGAATTCCTCCAGAAAATTGAGCACGGGAAATTGAACGTTCCTGCGATTGCGAGACCTCCTCGTAAGAGTAATATCCTTGAGCCTCGAGTACGATCAACAATAGATCTTCGCCGTGCACGGCCGCGAGCGTTCGGCAACTAACAAACGTCCGTTGCGCCGACGGTCGATGACATGAAGCAATCGGCAACGAGACAGCTTTTCTCGGGAGTCGAAACCGATTGCCGGGGATCGCAGCTGGCCGAGCAAGTTTCGCTTTGTCGATAGTCCACCTAAATCATATCGATAGACGCGAGGGACCGGCAAAAAGGAGGGGCGAAAGATCGCGGGAACACGGTAACCGAGAAAACGAGAAATAAAGAAGAGCGCAAGAACCGGAGGAAGAGAAAGGGAGGAACACTGGGAAGAATGGGAGAGGAGAAATAAGATAGATACTGAAACCAGAAAAAAGAACAGAACCGAAAGAAAGAGAAAGGAGAAACATAGAAACCAGGAAAACAGGAGGAGAAAAAGATAGAAATAATATAGAGACCAAAAGAAGAAAATAAGATGATTTTTAACCCTTTGCACTCGAGAATATTCTTCTCGGCAAACGTTCATTATTTTCTGATGAAATATGATATGTTTTACAACTAACATGAAGGAATACCTTGCATAAATTAAGTAACAGAACTATTTTATTTCGATGTTCCATGTGTTGCATTATATAAAAATTTGATATTGAATTCTAAATTTTATCATTCTCATGGGTCAAATCAAATGACTGAAAAGCCTCTCGAGTGCAAAGGGTTGAAAAAAGGACATAGGAACGAAAGAAGCAGGAAAAATTGGGAATATACAGACATCAGAAAAAGAAGATAGCAGGCAGAGGAAAAAATAGGAATAATACAGACATCAAAAGAAAATAATAAGATGAATACTGAAAAAAGAAACCAAAAAAAAGGACATAGAAACGAAAGAAACAGGAAAAATTAGGAAAATACAGACACCAGGAAAAGATAGAAACAACACAGAAACCAAGAGAGAAAAAATAGAGGACTCAAGATCAGTAGAATACACAGAGTGAAAAACGAAGATAAGTGGATAAGATAAAAGATGAAAAGGGAAGGAATCCGAGGAGCATATCGGCATGCCGAGCACTCCAGCGGCGCGACGTTCGTTCAGTTTCCGAAAAAGACGAGCGACTCGTTCGTCCCGGTTGCCGTGGAAGACGAACGAGCCGGGAATCGAATTTTCTAAACGTCGACAACACCGCCGTTCCCAGCGAGAAACTCCCGCTTTATGCATATCCGATGGCGCGGAGGCAGCCACGATTGAATTGCAAGCAGGAAGACACAAGGACGGAATGCATCCACCTTGCAGAAAATATTCCGGTGGTTGCGAGGCGGCGAGCTAACTGCCCGCCCGAAAACCGTTTTCCTTCCGCGTTCCGACTCCGTTTCCCGGCGACTTCTCTCGCCTCGTCGAATCGCGTCCAATTACCGGGCCGCCTTTAACGGTTCAATCATCGTCCGATCGCCGTTGACGTCCGAATACACTTTAACGCGTCCAGCGCCGCGTCAGTCACCGCTGACTGACGCTTTTCAATGAGCAGGAAACAATCGTAACGTGCAAGATAACCGACGTGAAAGGAGAATGTTTAATAGCGGGAGTTGATGATAGTGTTATGTAAATGTTGTAATTATAATGATTGACCTTTGTTTCTGCTTTTCTTTGAAAACGATTAAGATTCTCGCGGCGCTTGTGTTACTGGAACTATCAGAAATGATCGGTCTCGAGATTCTTATTTTAATATTGAGACGATGAAGGTGCTTGAGAAGTTGTAAATAAATTGTGCAGCAATAAGCTCCTCGAATCTCGAGAAATTTGCTTTGCTGATTTTTAGAACAGATTAAATTTCAATAGTCTAACAGTCTCAAATTTCTAAGTCTCAAAACTGGGATTCCCCTTGACAGTTGCTGGACACTTTTAACCTTGTCGAATATACTGAATATGATCACCTTTCGTTCGTAATAATTACCTTTGTAAATTTATTTGTTCGTCTTTTATCGAAGCTTCTTCGAAGCGAATGAATTTTAGATCTGATTCGCTGGAAGTCTTATCGAACACGAATATTACATCTGAATATTACTATATAGTAATAATACTATTGTAAATACTTCACAATCGTCCAACTCCCAAACACCCTGCGCTACTGTTGACATTTCTTATCAACCTCCGCACATTCCAACGGCCGGCGATCCAAATTCGAATCACTTTCCCCAACGATCGACAACCGGCGTTCCAATAAAATCCCTTGAAACCATACCTGTGAAAACTCTGAAAGCCGACTCCTTACGCAACGGCGACCTTTGCTTCTCCGGCAGGAACAATGAAAATTACATAAACATCCGTCGATCGACGATCAGTCGCCCGACGAGCGCTGGCAAGAGCCATCCGATCAACGAGCGCACAGTGCACCGAATCCCGCGCGGTCACTTGCGTCTCTGAATCGAATTCCGGGGATCGGTCAGCTTTGTCCGGCGAACGAAAAACCGGCCGCGGTATCACTGGGTCCTCATCTGGGTCCGACGTGTCCGTAACTCGCGGAACCTCGATCACTGAACCGCGAACACCAGCGTCGGAACTATCGTCCGTAGATCACAGGGAATCCTGGCGTCGGCCGATCGACGAACGCCGGAGATTCCGGTGGCCGATCGCGAGAGCAACCGAAGGATCACGATCCGGATGAACCGGTGACTCGTTGGGTCGACGAACAGGTGAAACGATCTCGACGGAGCTCGGTGCAAGCCGAACGATAGAGCACCGGAGAGCCTTTGGTCCCAGCGGCGCTGTCCGCGGCGGTTTTTTCGTGGGCGCAAGCGAGAAACGCGCCGGTTCACGTTGTACGCACACTTGGACGACGCTCGGAGGCCGACTGTTGCCACCACCGTGAACCACGACCACGTGGACCTCGGCAATGCCTCAACATCCGCTCGTGAATATGTATTTATAGGCTCGTACACACAACAAGCTCGCTCGGTCGCGCTCCTCGCTCGCTCTTGCACGCCCAAATGATCCCCCCGGACCGATAATTCGACCTTTTGCCGTCTTCCATCATCCGCCCTCCCTCCACCCCTCGTTCCCTCTTCGTCGTTCGTTTCCTTCGGTCCTGTTTCCTTCGCGTTTTTTCGATACAGCCTGGCCTTCGCCCGCTCGAACGAAAGCGAACGCCGCCGGTTCCCGAGGTGCGAATCGTCCGAGCACCGAGCTGTTCGCTCTGTGGCGTTGGGTTCGCTTGGGTTCGGGGTTCGAGGGTTAGCTGGTACCGAAGCGGGAGGATTCTGGTTCGATCTTCTTGATAATGATACGATTGTCAACGTTTGCTTAGTATTCTTTGAAAAATCTGTTGGTGATCGGGGATTTCTTAAGGTCTTCGTTAGAACTATCGAATCTGATGTGCAGTTTCTTATATGAATTGCAAGACTGTTTATTAAGATTCTGATTGATTCATATTTTAGCACGTTTGAGAACCGATTAGCTAATTTTCTCAGAAAGCAGAAGTCCAAGATGGATCTGTAGTTCTAGAGTTCATAAGTTCTTCGAAAACAATTGTAATCGTGGAACTGTAAATCACCACGTGTGACACAGTCTCGTGATTTTTATTAAAATAACGGAATTCTGATACGGTGTAATGACTGAGAAGCCACAGGCTGTCAATGGATGAAGCGTTCTTTGATTGTTGCGACGATTATATAAGAGAAATTTTTATAGTTGGAAGATGAGTCTTCAAGATAATGGGACGAGGATCGTTGAAGGAAGTTTCGAGTGTACTAAAGACGGAATTGCTTGCACTCATTATGCGACTGCTCGTAGCAGTATAATACGTAGGAATGAATAATCAATTGTATAAATAAGGAGGCGTGACGTACGATACTGCATTAATATGTATACTTATACCGGCATTGATTAATTATTTGCTGTCTGCGGCTAAGAGCAATCAGTGTGGTTTCAAATAGTGCCAGGATAGTGAATGTTTTGTTACCTGAAGCGATCGTTTCGACGAACACTTTCGTCTATTTATTATTTATTATTCAAAGCCCGAGGGAAACTATACTGAGAGAAACAGTGTAGTCGTACGAGTGATTGTTAACCAGTTAACTGTGTTCGACGAGTATATACGTCACCGTAAAGCTTGACACGATACTAATTCTTTCAGCGAATTCTTTAGTTTTCCACATAAACATGTAATTCCTCTTTGTTTCGCTTTGATCTTTCATTAAAATATGCTCTACGTGCATTCGTCCTGCGTTCGACGAGTACACGCTCCATTTTTTTATTTTACCGCGCGCAGAACCAGAAGCTTTTCCAACTAAGTTCCACAGTTAACTGGTTAAACAAATGGGAATACCGATGTAACGATAGAAAGATTCACCTGATCCGATTGTTGTTCAACCGTACTCTCTTCGTTACGAACGGTCAAAATGGCAGAGTATAAAACTAAAAGGCACCAAGACGAGGGTCCACCGCGGGTGTTCCCTGTCGAGCCTCGAGGAATTATTTTTCTATGGAAATCACAGCGTACGCTGACAGTTAGAAGTTACAACGCGAAGCTCCAAGGTAAAACGGTTCGAAGAACCCGCGCGAGAATCGCAATATCCGAGCAAACCGATATTTACCATTTTGACATTGAAGTTTACACGCGCTTACCCAACTCGCTAATTAACTGTGCCACAAATGAAGTAAACTGCCAACCAAACACGACGGGTACGCTTGTTACGAATATTCCTATCTGTCTTCAACACCTACGATGAAACCTGCACTTATTTATTTATCAAATTCTGAACTCTGTCCGAACAGAGTCAGGAACGGAAACGAAGTAGTTCCATTCTGATTTGAGGAACAGGTATTATTACTATGTCTATCTCTATTTAAGCAATTACTCGCTTAGCAAGCTAGGACGAATGCGCGTAGAGCATATTTTAATGAAAGATCAAAGCGAAACAAAGAATTACATGTTTATGTGAAGAACTAAAGAATTCGCTGAAAGAAATAGTATCGTGTCAAGCTTTACGATGACGTGTATACTCGTCACAGTTAACTGGTTAAGGAAGGTATTCGACTGCCAGAATCGTCGATGCTGTACCTTGATCAGAGTTGGAAGACTTTTTCCATTGGTTATCGCGACAGGAACCCGCTAAGTAGATGCGCCTCGCCATTGAGTCCTGATGATTCACAATTGTACACAGGAAGAACGTCGACAGCGCGATGTGTTCGGCAAACACACGTGATCGCGGTCTCCGACAAACACAGGTCGACCGACTGACCCCTGCTAGCATCGACGATCTACTAAAAACAATAATTTATATGTAAATGCGACTCCCGTTGTTAGAATACCTCGGTTACATCCACTCAACCAGGAAATCGAAATGTAACGTCACGTTATAAGCTCGAAATTAACGATCCATACCGTCATAATCTAATTACTATTACGTCACGTTAATAGTATTTACCTGATATGGTTTTATTATGTTCACTACTTCGAAGATTGAAGAGAATGTTTTAGAATTTAACCCTTTAAGCCTCAGAGGACAAATGTCATTTCGACGAGGTGAAATTTTCAGATGCGACAGTTGCAACAATTCAATGATTCAAGCGAGTCATCGGAACTTAGGTCTTTACTTCTCTGATATCTCAATCTAGAACTACCAATGGCATCAATATTACTAGAAATCACTAAAAAAGCTGATTAATACCTAAGCTGAAATATAAGCTAATTTAAATCTTAAGTCCATACTCGTAACTTCTATAAAGAAACGTTCAAAAGTTCGTTTTTTCTAACAATACAAACTGTACCGCAAATGTCGGTAAATTTAACGTTGAAAAACCCTAGCAAAGGGTTACAAAAGAACAACCGAGCAAAATAGCAGCCACTGAACGTCTTCGCGAAGGAAGATCCACAAACGACGCAGTAACGCAAACGTAATCGTCCCTCCGTCTCCGCGACGAAGCGAATTCGTGCCGCCTCTCACTTTCATCGCGGCGTACCAGTTCCTTATCTCGCCAGGACAACTGATACCAGGTAGAGGCAGCGGCGAGGAGACACCGGAGACCGTTGCAACGAGCGTGCGAAACGAGAACTTCTCGCCATTAACGGCGGCCACGGATGAAAAACCGTGCGAACCAGTTCCAGAAGCTGGCTCAAAGAGCCTCTTCTTTCGACAGTGGCGGATGAATCGAGCGTTTCCGTCCGGCGAATTCTCCGGGAGGTCAGGGCAACCGAGACGCGTTCGTTGCACTCCCCGAGGAGTCGATCAGCGATTCGAAGCGTGTCGAAAGTCCTTCCTTTGGCTGCGTCGTTGTTTAACCCTTAACGGACCTCGAGTTGCCGTGCGAAAACATTCAAGAAACATTCACTGAGCTAGCGCGATGCTTAACGCGTTCGTTGTAAATATTGCAAGAATAGTGATGAAATGATTGTTGCCGCCATATACCAGGATGGACAAGTAAAAGTGCCATTCTGCTGTCATTGCTCCGTTAACGGTATATTCCTTGAGAAACAGACAGAAACAGGAAGCTTCGAGAAGCTCAACGAGTAGCAAGATCACTTCCAGAAACGTATATTTCCGAAATTTGCTAAGTTTAATGAGTTGTAATCGCATTTTCCTAAGATTCATTGACTCGACGACACAGTTGCATAGACGATTAGTTTATAGAACGTATAACAATCAGAATGACTGATTCCAGAGTTCCTTCGCAACGATTAAAACTGCTTCGGTAATACGCAAACTGACTCATCTGAAATTTCAATAGCTGCACTCGCAGTTTCTATAAAAAAACGTCAAACGGTCGACTAGGTGGTTTAAGTATAGAAGAGAGCGCGGTCCCTGGAATAAATATTAAAGGCGGCCTAAAAATAGGCCTAGCTGATGCATATTCCTCAAGGATCGTCTTTATGCGAAGCCCCTCAGCCTTCGTGGACCGCGAGGAACGAGTTTCGGGGCGGAACAAGTTCTCGCTCTGCCGAGGAACCGCGATCTGCCCGATGTCCGGCGAGCGGAGGGAGAAATAAACAGGTAGAAGTCGGTGATTCGTAAATAGTTGCGCGTCGGAGGAGCAGTTAGCGGCCCATGGGACGCCATAGGATGCCGGCGGATTCTTTTTTTCGGGTCGCGAGGTCTAGGGCGACCGGGTGGCGCGATTTTTTTCTCGTTCGTCAGCCACGGGTGGTAATCCTATTAAGAACGGGGATGGCGGACGTTTCCACGTAACCGAGCCGAGCGGGCCGATTTTTTTTCGCGCCGATAGGCGATTCTAAAAATACGAGGCTGAGGATATTAAAACGAACGAACGAACCGGGAACCTGTCTGACGGGAGGCGGCGGCGGCGGCGGCGGCGGAGTTGCCCGGCCGCGTTTCGTTTCGTGGAAATCGAGAACGACCGGCTGAACGTACGCACGCACGCACGCACGCGCGTGTACCAGAGTCCGTTGCATTACGAGACCGGTATCGAATGATGCGGCGAACGCGCAACGGCGGATAAGGAACGATTACGTCAATCAGTGCGGGAAGAGAACTCTACCTGCAGCGGGAACAAACGGAGAAGCGGGAACTTGTTTTCGTTGTCACGACCGAGGGAAATATTGGGACCGGCTGCACGGACGGCGGTGCAGTTGTGCAACGGATTCGCGCGTGTGACGCGCGATCGTCTGGCTAGTATGGATTTCACCGTTTTCGATAATGAAATTTCGCGCAGAATAGTTGAAAACAGTTGGAGATGGATGGACATTGTTGAAAATGCTTGAAAACTGTTGGAAATTGTTGAGAATTGTTGAGAACTGCTGAAAATAATTGGGAATTGTTGGGAGTTATTGAAAACAGTTGAAAGTGGTTTCAACTGAAATTCATTCTCGCTAACCCTTCGCTTAAGGAATTATTATTATTATTATAGAATTCTATTTGCCCCATTTAAGAAGTTCGTAAAACCTTATTGGTGATTGCGAGAGTTTTTCTATATAGATAAGAGAAACATAATATCTCATCAATAATTGAACTGTTTATAATGCAAATGACTGTTTTCCTTGCGCAATTTGCAATTGATGTGTGACAATCTCCGATCGAAATATCACTAACTCATTCCCAACTACTGGAAAAACTTCCTATTGACAATTTACATAATGACTTCGTATATAGGTTGTTGTGCGCTGAACAGTATCTGGGGACAACAGGGTCTGTTGATAGCCATTTTAACATTCTCGATATTGTGGAGAAAAATCGTACGCACAGGAAATCAACGCGAATGATATCTGTCCTTCCGGGAAGTCTCGAGTTTAGCGAATGATAAAAGTCGACGAAAATTGCGTCTAACCAGTATTGTTATTTCTGCTGTTGTTGCACAGTTACTTCGTATCATCTAGTTGCTTGAGTTGCTAATTGAATCATTCTTGAATGATATGGTTCTCGGCAGTCGTAAATTTATGTATATGGTGTATCAAGATTTCTGATTAGCCATTACTCTCAAATATAAAATACAAAAGCAGGAACCTTTATTACCGATCGTTAATATTCACAGATTCATTCTGTACGTTCCTGTCGCATTTAAAAATGGCGTCACAACACTCTTAAAGTGAATTAAGGAAAAGGACTCAACAAAATTCAAACGACACTGAACATATATTTAGTTAAAAATTTTTTCAGATTCCATTGTATTCAACAAATGCAACAATGCAACCATTTGAAATGTTTAAACATAAGTATCCTTCAGATCGACATCGAACAGAAAATGATTTTTTTCGATTTTACTATGTTTGATAATCAAATTTCTCTGTTTACTCTGGGTATTGATTGTATGAAGTGAGAAATGTTGATGTGTTGAGCATGAATGTCATCATTTTGTCAACATCGAGGTTTTGATGTCTGTTTGGCACATGAAGTTGCAGAGGATAATTTGATTAGTCGAGAATAAGAGATCAATATAGAATTATCTTTTTTTCTGGGGTATTCTGAGTAGTTTGAAGATCTTCGTCTACTAACTAGTTTGAATTTTGGCTCTTTTGCAATTTAGATTTCTCTGTTTCCTCTAGGCATTGAATATACGAAGTGGGTCGAATGTTAATGCTTTGAACATGAATTTCATCGGTTTATCAACATCGAGGTTTCGATATCTATCTATTTGGAACATGAAGTTGCAGAGGATAATTTGATTCTTCGAGTAACAAGAGATGAGTGTAGAATTGTCTTTTTCTTCAGTGTTTTCCGAGCATTTTAACAATCCTCATCAGCACAAGGTTAATAGTTTGATCTTTCCTACGTAGACAGAGAATTGAAGTTCGACAAACAGCGTTTACTTTTGACATTTTAGATCTCTTTACGCGGACAGAACTCCTCGGCCTCGAGTAAGCTGCTCTGGAAAAAACATAGAATAATCTTCTTTGTTTTTAATCCTTGAGAATCCGAAAGTGCCGTTTGTTCTTTGTCTACGTCGTTTTCGACATAATTTACCATACGTTCCCGCAGAGGTCGTATATCAGTGAAGGCATCTCGTTGTGTCCAACGTGACAACTCGAAATCCAGTATAAAATTGGAATAAATCAAGTTGCCGGCGACGCAGGCATCTAAACGAAGAAAATAAATTCCTCCGAAATTTAAGCGTACTCGTGTATCCAAAGCCTCCAGAAAAGGATCTTCTGTAATTAATCATTCACGCCGAAGAAGCGTGTCTCGATTTGACACAGCGAAATTGCGAAGTTGAATATTTCACATGAAATATTATAATAAAATAACTGTCTTCTGGAATTCACCTGTAAATCATCGTTAAGCTAGTTCCAAAAAACATCGTCTATATCTCATCAGAGAACGTCGGATGTTCTACGCGAGAAACCGTCGAGTAGAAAGGGTTAATGTGGTGCAAACAACCGGACAGGCGGATCGACGCGTCCTTGTCATTGTGCTGCGAGAATCAAACCGTAGGAAAATGTTGCACCTAGCGTGTCAACTTGAAAGTGGTTTAACGATTAACCGACTTCCAGTGCGAGCCGTGTATATTTCCCACAATAACACTGTTTTCCATACAATGCGTGCTCCGACAATACCTCGAATATCTGCCGGCTTAGAGGAATCAGCGATACAGCGAAATGCGCGTTAAACTTCGCGTGCATCGGTGCATCCATTGACACCGAGCGATTGTACCCGGCACAAGTCTGTCCTTGTTCCTTAGCTGTTTTCTCGGCTTATCTGGAAACGAGGCTTCAAGATGAATCGATAATTGAGGAGGATATGAAGTCACAATAAGACTACAATTAAGTAATTAACGAGCGTTATGTCAGCCTTTTCTTCGTTTCCAATACAGTGTACTTATGTACGAGTTCGCAGAAGTTTGATCTTCTCGGAAGGACGCTACTCCGTTCAAAATATAAATCTACCGTGGCTAGATAGGATTCTCATTCTTAATATATGCTGCCCTTTCTTCCTTCGAACGCTGTCTAATATTTATGAGTGTTCATTCAATGGGTGCAACTGTTTCATCTATAATCGTGATTTATCTACTGTGATCACGTGTTCTCTCCGAATCTCCTAAACTTATACAATTTCTAAATATGTACTCGTTTCATAATAAACTTCTTATTCTCTTATGAACAGAACTAAGTGATCCAGTTTAGAGATCATTCGATTCTTTTCGAACAAAGCCGCGCCGCGTCTGAATTTTCCTCGAAATTGCAGACGTTGCCCAATTTCTAAACGCAGTCTCGTTAGGGAACGTACTGGTTTCTAAGATGAAGCTTTTGGAGAATGGAGATCGTCGGAACAATGTTCCCGTGGTCGATTTGCATCTATTCCTGGTGGTCGTAACGAGGGAAGATTCGCGTGCACTCGCGAAGCTGCTAAGTTGTGCCACATATGGAGTCCGGCGTCGGGCCCCAGAGAAAATGTAGTAAGTATTGCTAAGCAGGAAAATCGCCGGAAGATTCAAGGTATTAATTCATGCAAATTACAGTCGAACGAGCGGTGAGGCAATCAAGCGCGCGCGCGCGCGCGGGGAGACGAGGTCGGTGTCTCGGCGAAAAAGATGGAGGAGAAAAAAAGAGGATAAGGAGAACCTCTCGGTCTCCAGCATCAGGTTCAATGTCGACCGTTACGTGTGGAATTACGTGGACACTTTGAAGCTGTCTTTAACACCGTTTTGACCCTCCCGCGGTGTCGGAGACCATGAATTTTCTTCCTCGGTATCAATTATGCCTTCCTTGCTCGCCACTTCCGTGTGGATTGCGTGCAGAATAGCTGAAAACAGTTGGAGATAGATGGACATTGTTGAAAATGCTTGAAAACTGTTGGAAATTGTTGAGAACTGCTGAAAATAATTGAAAATTATTGGAAGCTATTGAAAACAGTTGAAAATAGTTTCAACTGAAACTCGTTCTCGCTAACCCTTCGCTTAAGTAATTATTATTATTATCATATAATTCTATTTACCCCATTTAAGAAGTTCGTAAAACCTTATTGGTGATTGCGAGAGTTTTTCTATATAGATAAGAGGAACATAATATCTCATCAATAATTGAACTGTTTATAATGCAAATGACTGTTTTCCTTGCGCAATTTGCAATTGATGTGTGACAATCTCCGATCGAAATATCACTAACTCATTCCCAACTACTGGAAAAACTTCCTATTGACAATTTACATAATGACTTGGTATATAGGTTGTTGTGTACTGAACAGTATCTGGGGACAACAGAGTCTGTTGATAGCCATTTTAACATTCTCGATATCGTGGAGAAAAATTCTACGCACAGGAAATCAACGCGAATGATATCTGTCCTTCCGGGAAGCCTTTCCGGCGAATGACAAAAGTTCAACGAAAATTGCGTCTAACCGGTATTGTTATTTCTACTGTTGTTGCACAGTTACTTCGTATCGTCTAGTTGCTTGAGTTGCTAATTGAATCATTCTTGAATGATATGGTTGTCGGCAGTCGTAAATTTATATATGGTGTATCAAGATTTCAGAATAGTCAATATTCTCAAATATATAATACAAAAGTAGGAACCTCTATTACCGATCGTTAATATTCACAGATTCATTCTGTACGTCCTGCCGCATTTAAAAATGGCGTCACACACTCTTAAGACGAATAAAAGGAAAGGACTCAACAAATTCAAAGGACACTGAACATATATTTAGTCAAAAATCAATGCGATGCAAACATGCAGATCTATACCGATTCCATTGTATTCAACAAATGCAACAATGCAACCAGTCGAAATGTTTAAACATAGGTATCCTTCAGATCGACATCGAACAGAAAATGATTTTCTTCGTAAGGAATCCCAATATCATAAACATTTTCGCTATATTTCCACAAATATCCGCGATCCAACGATAAGTGAATTTGTCGTGTCAGCGTCCATAGAGTCGCAGCGTTGAACATCTTAAGCAGAGAGTTTCGAGCGCATGGTTTTCAACAACAAATTGTTGCCAGGCTCGTTGTGCTCTTTGTAGCCGGGGAGCTCGAGCTCGCATCTTTTCAGCCAGGCGTTCACGTTGGGGTAATCCTCCAGATTCAAGATAACCTGCGGCAGACGCGAAAAACCATCTGTAGTCTCTAAAAATTTCAGCTCCGCCCGATTGCCGCTGTGAATTAGAAATCTTACGCATGCACAGGACGCAGTGGTCGCGCAGCTGATGTCGGCGAGGGTGTAGGAATCGCCCACGAGCCATTTTCTACCCTCCAGGAACCTGTTCAGAGAGTCGTACGCGTCCCTCATCGCCTGGACGTTGGCTTCTGGCGCCTCGATCTTCGAGTTCTTCCCTTTCTCGGTCTTCATACGGAACATGGTCGTCTGTCATCAAATATCAACGATCATACAACTTATTCTACACTCGTAACACACATAAAATAGCGAATAGGAAATTTACTAAGTAATTTACTAAGAGAACGAAACACAATCGCACACTGACCATCAAAATTACACGCAAAATGTAAGTTCCATTAAATCTGCTGCACGAAGTCAGTTATAAAGCGAATAAAGGAGGCAACGCCAGAGGATCATCATTTCCCTCGTTAACCCTGCAACAGCTCCTCGCGCAACTTCAGCGTGAGCACTCAATAAAAGATGCCAACGAAACTAAGCAACTTCTAAAGTTACGAAGCGGCCGTAAACAACGCGCGTACACGGTGCTCCATTCATCATGCACGCGTTAATGTCCTCATTACCTTCGCCGATACGAAAGCGGCTGCACGAAAGACCGCCTTTACTGTCCGAAAACGTTGTGTACCGCGATGCGAGGAGTTAAAAAGGCATGAAACAAAGTGTGACAAAAGCGGCGACAAAGGAAGAGACAGCGCGGGGACGATTGGCGCTCGTAAAGCTTTTACGACGGAGCCGGCCTGTTAATTAGGGATAAAAATCCTTGACGCTTCCGGTTCGCGCCGGATAGGAGGCGGCCGCATCGGAAAATATAAGAAGACGGCGGGTGGAGAAGGGTCGTTGGGAAAATTTCACGACGCCCGGCCGGCTTTCCTCCCGTGAAATTAGTTCGAGTCGGGACGGCCGCCATGTTCGAGCGTTGCGTCGTGAAACGGTCCCCGATAGCTGGCCCATCGCCGCGCAAAAATGCGCAGTTAGCCGACTTTATTGGCCGCCGTAAAAGCTACGCAGGATGCCCGGCAGCTTCCTGCGTCTATCGCCGTGGTTCCCAACATGGGACGCGTGCCCCATGGGAAGGGGGCGATCCTGGAATGAATTATTAACAACGAACGCTTTGCATTCCTGGTGATTCAAGGGTCAAGGCTCGATAACAGTCGACATGATCGGTCTCGATTTCTTTCTTTCGCAATTACCGATATGCTGAGAACATTGAATATCGAAATGATCTTGAAAATAAATAGTTTCTCAGCGGTACTATTCTTCCGTTCTATTCTTCTCCTTTATGACTGCCTTCTTGGGAAGCTCGTTAAAGTATAATCATCTTTCAATAAGTTCATTTTTCGAATATTAGCCTTTTGCACTCGGGAGACTCTCAGTCACCACTTGATTTGACGCAGTGAAACTATAAAATCTTGGAATATAAATAAAATATTGGAAATAGCTTTGTTTCTCAATGTACTTGTGATTTCCCTTCGAGTCAGTTTCAAGGAATATCGTCTTCGCCTCGTCAAAAAATGTTAAACATTCCCAGTGAGAAACCTCCGAGTGCAAAGGGTTAATAAGTCGCTCAGCAGTTAAGTAGACTTTCCGATATGATTTTTCAATTTTAACTGAATAAATATGTATTCAAGGATTTACTCGTCTCTTCGCTTTTCCACATGAGAAAGCCTTGTCTACAGCTTCTGAACATCTACAACAATTTCAAGAGCCAACACAATTTTCTCAAATCCCATTCTCTGGACACATTGGTTCCTACTCGACGCATACGTCACGTGACGATGTATTAGGATATTCGAGATGCACGGGCACAGCCGGAAAAAGGTTGGAAACCACTGCTCTCTATCGCATAATGCCTGGCCGCGTATATACGCCGCCGCGCGGAAAAGCGAATCGCATTAACCTCCTTTCGCGCGGCTTAATCGGCCGCCGCGAGATGGACCGGCGTTGTTCGCGGAAGACTTATCCTCCGAAGGATACGCGGGACGAAGTGGCCGCGTAAACCGCGTCGTAAATTTCCCTGCGATCGCCTGGGTCGATCGGGGCTCGAGGATCGAGCGCAGGGAGATCTAATCGTGAGCCGCGTAAGTCTTCCCGGCTTCCCAGAGTCCTCGCTTCAGGTTTCCTTTAAAACCTGACTCTCGGAAAGACACAGCGTAGACGCGGGGATTCCTGTAGTCCTGTTGATGCTAAGGGATCAGAGATCGTTCGGCGGATTTAACACGGAGTTTAAGGGACGCGACAGTTTCAGGCGAATTTCGGGCATTGTTTGCTCGATGTTTACGTCGAATCTGATCGATCCGGTTACAGGAATGTGGCGAGCGAATGCTTGAATGAGTACGAGATGCGCGAATGAGTGAGAATGGGATAGACAGGTGAATGATGCGAAAGATTGGTTCTATGAAGAATGAAAGAATGTGACTGTTGATGAATAAAGTTAGTTGTTAGTTGAGCGGCGTCAAATAAAAGAATACGTTTACAAAGAGATTGCGACACGAACGTGTATCTTAACCCCTTTCGATCTATCTCTTAGCTATGATCGAATCATAAATCGATTGAAATCTCAATAGAATGAGTCTTGAGGCTTCTGTAAGAGAATTAGAGAGTGACAATTTGACTACTCGGTAGCTCTGATTAGTTAGAGTTGATTAGTTTCGATTATTCCACGAATACTTTGGAAGAGAGAGGCCTTTGAGTAAATTCGAATCTAGATACATCAGAATCTTTAGCAAACGGTCTTCCCCCCGTAAGGTCGCGCTTCAACAACTCATTTCCATCTGCATTCCATCCCCTCGAAGTAAATTGCAACACGAATACTTACGAACGCGTTCCTCGCAGCGGCGAACAGCGCAGACGAGTCCATGTGAAGGAACTGATCAACCCTTGCGCGTTTCTGCAAGTCCTTAGGGTACAAGGCGTCATTCTTGGCGTATTTGCTGACCAGGTAACAGTTGATGGCATGACTGCGAATAAAATTGTGTCGTAAATATCGCACGCAAGAATACTGTGCGTCAAATGTGGGAAAGTTTCGTCGACTACCTGTCCGAGAGAGTGAAACCGTTGTCGTTTATGGCTGGGATCAAACGTTGGGGGTTGATCTGTTAAATCGAGAAAGTCGAATGTAATCATCGAGGAGTTGAAACAATGCATCACTTCATTTGATGGGGATTTACAAACTTTCTGAAATGTCAAACCTTCGTGAATTCCTCTGTCTGGTGTTCTTTCGCTGCCATGTTCACCTTACGAACATCCAGCGGAAGATCGATCGCGTGCGCCGTCATCAAGACTGCGCGACATGGCCCGCTGATCTCGTGAGCGTACAGGATAACGTCCGGCATTTTGTCTCTGAATGTTCCTGTGAACTTTAAAAAATTCCTTCTCAAACGCTCGAAGATTCTCTCACTTAACCCTTTGCACTCGGAAGTATTTCGTTGGAAATTAACATTCTCTAACTAGACAAAGACGGTGGTTTTTTTAAATGAATTCAAAGAGAAATCACAGGTAAATTGAGAAACAAAGCTTTTTTATCCCAATGTTTCACGCACCAATGCATTATAGTTCAATATTAAATATCAAATTTTCGAATTTTACTCCGTCAAATCAAATGGTGACTGGGAGTCACCTCTCGAGTGCAAAGGGTTAACACGTTGCTGACAGTTTAAACGATAAACAATTATCGAACACCATTGATCCTTTGTACTCTACGACTTGAATATCAATAAAAACAGAAAAAGGACGCAAAGCAGTAAAAAGTCAACGCGTTGTTGAGAGAAATATATCAACACTATTTACAGAACGAGTCAATTTGTCTAATATTGAATTTTATAAGCGTTTGGTAAATATTTGTCGATCTTTATTCACGCAGTCATGCAAATGTATATCCCAATTGCTCTTAAACCTCTAATTTCTAAGATCTAAACGAACGGATGACGATTCCTCTAAGAACAATAGAGCAAACTGTACAGTAAATGTCAGTAAATCTAGTGCTAAGACAATGAAACGTTACCGACTGTAAAAACAGTGTAAAGAAGCAAGTAACAAAGCCTACATCGCGATAAAGCGCGTTTAATTCGATAGTTACGATCAATGTCGCGTCTACGTTCACTTCTCGATATTCTTTTATCCGAGACACGCGTCGATGTCTGTACAAGAAAGGTTCACCGCAGGTAGAATGGTAGTCGTGTTCTATTCGTTCGTGTTCAACCCTGCGACACTACCATTAACTATAGTGGTGGAGGTAAATCAGTTTCGGTTTCATTCCAGTTTTCAGTCGCTTCCTATCATCTTACGTTTCACACTTGCTACGACTAGCCCATAAACTCGGCAATCTTATTCCTCGAGTAATACTGCTAACGTGCTTGCTTAAGCACTTCCGGTCCTCGAATTCTCTCCTCGCGACTTATGCTTCGAACGATGCAACGCGGTTGCAACGGATATAACATAAATGATAGATGCTAATAGTCAACATAATCATTCATTGAAGTTTGCGTAGCTTACAGTAAATCTATCGACGAATTTATAATATGACGAATAATTCTTTAAGTTGTAAAATATAATAAAAATTAAAATTTATATATGAATATTCCTCTATGAAAACTGAGATATTGTTTCTTCTCAATAGACAATTGTAGAGTACTCCTGTAATTTTGACATTCATTGCCAATGGATGACAGTATCAGTTCTTAACATCATATTCCATATTTGCCACGTATTCTACATTCAGTCAACTCTTATCTGTAAAACAGCCTGACCTAAGACGTGGCCTAAGACCTAACAAACTTGAGCCAGAACTCGTACGATCCAATTTCAAACATCCATACGAAACAGTATTAACAGTGAAAATTAAGAAAAGTCACTAAACTGCACACTCACCGAAGCTTTTTCAGTTCTGATAAAATATTCATTTTACGGGCCAGAATGAGAACGATAGTGTCAGATAAAATGAACTCTCGATTGAAAATCAATAGTCTGGTTAACAGAGGGAATCTCTTTTTCGAAGAACGAAACAAAACGAAAATAGGAGGAGCCAGGATAGAATGCCGCGACGAGCCGAATCGATACGTACCTGTCAAAGTGGATGCAAACGACTCTTTCGAAAGCCGCGAAGACTCTGAAGAAAATTTATTCTGGTCCCCCACTAAATCAGCGCGGAGGAGTAATCAAAATCTGGGAGAGTGACACCAGCGTGTTTAATGTAAGCCGAGTAGATATTGAACCGGTCGGGCGTCGGTCTTACGGAGTACGCCGAGGGGAAGCCAATGCTTCAGCGCGAGATACGCTTGATGGTGATCAGAGCAACGGTTATCGTCCAGGTCCAACGATATTACGCAAGAACTGCTGGACATTAATGTCTAAACCTAATTGATTGTTACTTTCGTGCCTGTGGAAACTCTGATCTACATCGAAATCCATATTCATCGCGTACAACAGAAGTTTAAAGGCATTATAGTTATATTGATCATTTCTATGGCTTTTCTGTTACTCTAAGAATGTATACAGGAAACAGGGACATTTTAGAATGATTTTTAAGAATCTGTTCACTGAGGAAGGTTATAATTGATTTGAAATATGATGAGATCTTGTTAAATCTTGTCTGATCGCTCTGATCTGCATCGAAATCCATATCCATCGCGTACAACGAAAGTGTAAAGGCATTATAGTTGAATTGATCTTCATTTCTACGACTTTTCTGTTACTCTAAGAATGTACAGAGGAAAAAGGGATATTTTAGAATGATTTTTAAGAATCTGTTCACTCAGGAAGGTTATAATTGATTTGAAATATGAGGATCTTGTTAAATCTTGTCAGATCGCTTGTTCTAGTTATCACTGATGTTTCATAGTGTACATAATATTCGAGGATGACTAGTAAGATAAAAGATGTAGCTCTTCTTATTTTCAGATTATCGCTGCAAAAATAATGTCATATTTATAACCGCATAATCAATCGAATGCGGATTATTATTGCATTATCTTATCGGAACTGCTGTTACATCATCCGCAATTTCTTCCATCTTCGCAAGCTCTCTAAGAACTCGAAATAAAAGGAAAGACTTATTAAAGTTTTGGCAGTATTAATTAATATTTCCTACTATTTTACAACAAGAATTTTAACCTACGAACACGGAGAGCCTGCAGTCGATTTTTACTACATAAATGAAGCTCATAGACAATTTTAAATACTAAGAAATCTTAAAGACTCCAATCAGCGCACCCCTTAACGAGTTAATGGCATTAATTACAAATACTCTGCGCAGGTCTCACCTGTTGCATTGGTTCGCGTGTAAGTTTGAGCCGTTGCTTGCAAAAGAATAATGAGGAATTCAAAACGACAATGCCAGAAAGTATTAGAAATACCAGGAAGAATGTAAAAACAAATGCTCTAATTTCTATACAAACGAGTTCACTTAAGCTCCACGTAAATGACCGTTGTAATGGAAGTTTATAAACGATAACACTAGTATCTCCATACGTGTGTTTCGATAAGGACATCGTCATGCATATTTAGAGGTCAGCGTAAAAAAAATGCAAATGTTTGATAACAGTCGGTCGAATTAGCTGAAAGCGAAAATGCTATTTAAATCTTTCATCGACGATTAAGGCGATAAGCAGCGGTACCTGCCGCGACATCTTCCGACGCCATCTTGGATCAACGACGACCGAAAACCACCGTTCAACGCCATCTGTCGTGAACCCCTGAGAATTACAATTCCAATGATGTTCGTATTAAATTTTTTATTATGTTTATACTTTTTTCCAGCTGATAACGATTTAATTAGTTCTTTAACGACGATATCAATTTCAATCGCCCCGACGGGGAAGACCTCCATTTACGACCCTGTTTTCAACAATTTCAGCGGATGATGCCCGCGGGCGGTTCGGTACCGATACTTCGCCGAGATAACAGGATTCATAGTTCCGATCGATTTTTTAATTGAATATCTCGCAATTAAAGCCGGCTGATGAGAATGGCAGATGCATAAATTCAATTATCGTAATACTTCCGTTGGTTTCGGCTCGGCGACGGTCGAATTTCATCCCGGAAACAACATTCGGACTAGCGGGGATCAATGATTGTGTACATTTATAGAGATTAATATTTTCGTTGCATAATTGACGGTCCGTCTGCCAGCGAGAACTTAATTCATAGTTGTTGTTATTACTTCGCCGTATCGCGTTTATGATTTCAAGCTTGTGTTCCTTATTATTGAATCGCGAATGTTATACAAACGTGTAAACAGCGTGTATAAATAGGCGGAATATAAGTAGATTTTTTAATCAGAATTTAATGGAATATAGTAAAACATTTCAGTTTTCTGGTAATATTTAATGTCATAATTTTCGTTTTCTGAAGTTTAGTATTAAAATTATTATTTAACCCTTTGAACTCTGTAGGCTCCGATATTGCACCAGGAATACTATGAGACATTTTAATGAATCTTAAACTACTCTACAATTATTCGATTTTTCGCACATCCAAATTTTGCAATAAGAAGGAAAAGATCTAAGAAATGTTATATTTCGTTTTCGCTATGAATACTATAAAAACTAGCTGCAGTTGCTGATAGACTATAAAACCATCTGGAGTGCTAAGGGTTAAAAGAGTAATCAAAATCCATTACGCAATGAAACTACCCCAAACAATTCTACATTTCTGCTTCTCTTAACGTTCGCTCTTATAATATGAAGTTTGTTGCATACAATTGCCAAACAAACCAGTGTATCAATGTAACAATCATTTACTTGACTGATGGATGATTGATTATTTAAAGCTTGAAAAAGTCGAAAGAATTAACAAAACAATCTGCTTACCAGGTTTACGCGAAGATCGAATCACTTAACGAACACTAGATTCCAACCCCTAATCTTCCCAAGCAAAGAAATCCGTAATAAACCGATAATCGACGAGTTAGAAAGAAACATTATCTTCGCGGAAGTCCGAGCGCGCTTTAACAGTCGATACGTTAACGTTTCCATTTTATTGCGTGTCCCGCGGTTGCGTAAACTGTAAACATTTGGACGATGCAGCCGTGGAAGACGTCCGTCGATAGGAAGCGAATTTATCGTAGATTTTTCTCGGCCGAAATGTTTAGAAAACCCTTGATCTTCGTTCGTTCATTCACGTGCTCCCGCTGTTTGAAATATAAGAGGGATAGTTTCACGAGCGCGGTGGTCATTCAGTTTTTAGTCACGGCTTAACCACCTCGTCGACAGCATGTGTCGCTGGTTGCCTCTCGCCGAACCGAGCAGCTCGCTGAAACCCAGCGATATGTCGACTTGAAGCGAGTCGTTACTTCGATCGGAAGTTTCAGTGGGAGATTTCGATCCGCTTTTCCGCAATTTGCAAAACGGACCGAGGAAACTCAGTGAAAAGTGCACAGGAAGATTCTGAGACCGCACTTCGAACTTGTTGTCAATTCGAGGAACACTGCGAAAGATGGCATGCCCGTTATCAGGTGGAATCGCGTAAGTAGCCAAAATTACATTCTGTGCGACGAACAACGGAGAACGGAAAATTCGAGGCGCTTCCTTGAGGTTTTCATTTTCGAGAGGCAACGGCCGGATAATCTTTCCATTAGCTCGAGGTCCATTAGACGGGAATGAATAAATTCTTGAAACGAATAAGCCGAAAGAGTAACCGATGGATCGCGGTGAATAAATGATCGAGTTTAATAACGAATGGCTGCTCGGGATTTTGGCTCTTATCGAATGAATTGCTCAGCTGGATACAGACGTTAATTGGCACGGTGTGTAACGATAAACAAGTTTATAATGAACAGGTGGTGTTTACAAGTATATGTGAAATATATCAAGGGTAACGGAGTACTTTGAATTATATCAACCTTGATGGAAACACAAGCGTCGAATTAATACGTTCATAATTAATATGCGAATTCGATTAAAAATTGACGGACAGCCTGATGAATCCTGAAATCTGGTGAAACCCGGTTGAAATTTGATGATTTTATTTTAGAGAGGACCGCGACCAGGATAACGGCCAGCTAACCGAAGGTCCTGGCATGCTTTATGGCGAATATCTTCGACTGGACAAGATCTTGACCGCGCAGAGACTACTGAGTGCAGAGTACAGCAAGGAAGTGCACGATGAACATCTTTTTATCATTACTCACCAAGGTAAACGCACTGGAAAGATTGTTTATCGACTTTGAAACCCCTACGATACTCGGTCCCAAAATGCACAGCTTCTTGCTACTTTGTAGTCTACTATTAGGGGCAGTCCTCGCGCGTACAGTTATGAAAAGATTAAATTAGTATGATGGAAATATGAATGTACGAGAAATTGCTCAATATCGATTTTCTCGGAAATGAAGATTATATGTTTTGTTTGTTTCTTATATATGAGATTACGTCTAGCTTGTTCGCGTCAGATTTTCAATTAAATCGGTTTCTAGTTCGGCGGTCATTTTTAGAATCATCCCTCGGCGAGGTCCTTTAAATTTAATGCTTATCGAGTACGTTTTATTGTTCGCGCGGTAGCGTACGAACTCTGGTTCAAGCAGATCATCTACGAGCTGGACACGGTCAGGGCGCTCTTCAACTCGGAGCCGAGCGGCTACGATTCCGCGTTGAATGGTACCTCCAACAACCGTTCCATACAGAAGAATCGGCTCTCCCAGGTCCTGAACGAGTCGAGGACCCTGGAGATCTTGAAGAGATTAAACCGCATCGTCCTCATTCTGAAAGTAAGTGAGACATCGGCGAATTTTTCCGCGAGCTATTTTCGTGACCCCGTTGTAAAAGCTGGCCAAGGTGGAATACGACGTGAAAGAGGAAGAAGACACAGAGAGAGAGAGAGAGAGAGAGAGAGAGAGAGAGGGAAAGTAAATAGAGTTTTCCAGCGCAGCGAGAACGTGTCGCAGAATAGTTCGATACACCCGGAACGAGGCCAGTAGCCATACGTTGACAATGACAGTGATGGGAGGAACGTGAACGACCCTTAATCGCAAGCCAATTAGAGCACCTCGATTTATGACAAGGGTGCTGATCCGCTCGCGGTGACTCTAATCGAATTTCTTTGATGTGTCGCTCGACGAGGGGCTACCGGCGCCTGGTTTGTAGCCATCGCTAGTGTAGGCTGCTTAGAAACACAGGTCTTAATCCTTTGCAATCGATATTCTACATCTTTTTCACGATAAGGATTGCCTTTGTAGAAATTTCGGTACTTTGTGACTTTAGGACTTTGAGAGTTTGGGACATAAGAACTTTGAGACTTCAAGACTTTGAGACTTTAGAACTTTAGGACTTTAGGACATTGGAACTTTGGGAATTTGGGACTTTAGGACATTGAAACTTTGGGACTTTGAGACTTTAGAACATTGCAACTTTGGGACTTTGGGACTTTAGAAATTTAAGGCTTTGGGACTTTGGGACCTTAGAACTTTAGGACTTTGGGACTTTGGGACTTTGGGACCTTAGAACTTTAGGACTTTAGAACTTTAAGACTTTGAGACTTCGGAACTTTAGGATCTTAATCGTTCAGAACTTTAAATTTCTGGAATCTTGCTCCAGAACTTCGAAACACTACAGCTTTGCAATTTCGAAACTTTAGAAAGTTTTCCACTCGACTGGACTACATTCAACAACATTCTCTACTAAAGAAACTGAGTGTACTCTATATCGACAAACTCAACAGAAACTGCGTATTACATTGTCCACCAGCACAATCGAATTTTATAAACATTATATTCCACTTTTGCCATGGTCATTGAACGATTTCGACATCCGATAATCCTCCGCGGATTGTTGGCAAACAGGTCAAGGTTCCGGCACGCAGGATTTTTTCGGTAGCGTTACCCTCCTCTCTCACGTCGCCGACCCCATTCATAACGGAATCAGAAAGATTGTGGGAACTGCAGAAATAACAGTGGGACCTGAGTAAGTTAATACCGCTAGATGATATGTGACACCCCGCCCTGACACGCATAGATGCGTTAGGTAACAAGCTCGTTGGCGCTCTTTCCATACCACAGAATGCAGGTGTGGTCGTCGCATTTTCTCGTCTCGTCCGGATGAAAAATCTTGTCGCAGGGTTAAGTAAGCTGCCGGACAGGGAACCGGGCAGTACTGTCTATCCCGTGATGATCGATTAAACAACCGATTCCCATGAATCGTAGACGTACGATTAAAGAAACGACAAACGGAGACGATCGATCGACAATTTATTTCCTTTACGCGGAATCTTCCGTTATATCGGGATTCAATGCAACGAACAAGTTGCATTCGTCAAGGGTCACTTATTCCCTGCGTAACAGAAGCGCAAGGGTGGCAACCATACAATTGCAGACTTGGGGTCTTAGACGTGGATAAGATCGATTAGGGGTCTGTGTACAAAGCAGTGATGGATTCGTTATATAGAGGAATTACGAATAATATATAGTAACAGTTCTTTTTCAATATAGAAACACGTATAGATAATTCGATATTTATCATTGTAATTAGAAAATAATTACTAGATCGTTAGATGATTATAAATATAGACTTGAATATTTATAAATTCCCTTCGTTCTGGATATTTACCAAAAATGGAACGACTTTATGTTAATTTACAGACGTTACAATCAAGCATAACTATTTCTACCCTATTAAGTTTCTCTGATTTTTACTGGAATGAGAAGTTTATTACATTTTTGTTTAAGCAACGAGTGTAACTTCATTTCTCATGTTCAGCTTCTAGTGGAGCAAGTGACCATCCTAGAGACAATGACACCGCTGGACTTCATGGCGTTTCGTGACTACCTTTGCCCAGCTTCCGGTTTTCAGTCGCTTCAGTTCCGTTTGTTGGAAAACAAACTGGGCGTGAGGCAGGAACACCGAGTCAAGTACAATCAGAGTTACACCAGAGTCTTCGGCAGAGATCCGAAAGCAATCGAAGCGATCAAGCGTTCGGAAGAGGAGCCGAGTCTCAGCTGCCTGGTTCAAGGATGGCTGGCGAGGACACCGGGCCTCGAAACCCACGACTTCGATTTCTGGGGAAAGTACAAGAGATCTGTGGAGAAGCTGCTCGCCGAACAGGAACAATTTGCTCGAGTAATGACCAACACTTCTGACCTTCGAAATTTGCGCTCGAATTTCACCGTTTCGCGTTTAAACTTTCTCAACGCCTTAACGTCAGCTTGTTTTTGTTCGGTGAAATGAAACAAAGTAATGTTTTCTCTGTAAAGTTTCCTTCGTTCACCATCCACGAAATAACATTTTTTTCATGTAACAATGATACTGCGTATATTTGTCGACAGAAGCTCTCTAAACCGAAGAATTGAAATTGTTACAGAAACAACCATCGGAACAGCTAAAGAATTACCATCTATCCAACGTGCGTTCCCGGCAAGCAGCCTTCGAGACGATTTTCAACGAGTCCCTTCACAACGCCCTCGTGACACGAGGGGAACGGAAGTTCGTGTACGCGGCGCTTCAAGGAGCCGTGATGATCACTTTGTACCGCGACGAGCCGAGATTCAGCCAGCCGCATCAAATCCTGACCTCGCTGATGGACATAGACTCCCTCATCACGAAATGGAGGTGTAAGAAAGGAGAACTGGCCCGTACGCCCGTCGGTATCTGAGATTCCAAAAAAAGCACATTCACCGTTTATCTTCCAGATAATCATGTGCTGATGGTGCAAAGAATGATCGGATCGCAGCAACTCGGAACTGGCGGATCCTCCGGGTACCAGTACCTGAAGTCCACCTTAAAGTAATATTTTTATTCTCATATTCAACGTGGAATCTCGCTGAAAACTTCTTTCCGCGAGATGACACAGCAAAGATCACGGTATGAATTTTTTTAGCACTCGGTTGAGAAACTTTCGTTCGCGGCCTGCACTCCGCAGACCTTTCGTCGATTGCTTATCGCTTATTTTCTCCTCGCGCGGAATCGTGAAATGCAAGAAATGTTTATGAACTTCCGATAATGCGGATTTATTTGTCTCGCCTCGAGCCGAGAGCGGCTTATTATTTCGTATCGTTAGTCAACGCTTCGAACAGCCGATCGGAAAGTTTCGCTAACACACGCATTTCGATAACAGCGACAGGTACAAAGTGTTCCTGGATCTGTTCAACCTGTCCACGTTCTTAATACCTCGACACATGATCCCGCCGTTGACGAAGCAAATGAAGACGAAACTGTCGATCGCCTGCAACGGATGGAACCCGGACGACAATCAGAACAACTCCGACTGCACCCTCGAGGACACGTAAATCGATAAGCGCCCCTCGATGGCGATAATACGCGCAACATGTTCCACCGGGAAGCATTTTCGAGGCACGTCGAACGAGAACACGCAGGAAGTAAGGCAGAGCGTCGATAAATAAAATCTTTTATTACAAACTATCCCCTGGCGCGCGTTGAAAAGTTTGTAAAAATCATGGAGGCCGTGCGGCTGATCGCACGGAACAATACTAACATAACAACTGCGTAACTATTATCATGAACGTAGCTTAATGTTATTAACATTATTGTCATTTCCGCAGACACTTTAGTTAAGGATACACTGATGGGCTCTATGTACATTTAAGGATTAATATAAATACTTTGAAAACGTTACGTTGTCTTAATTCCGAGCGGTCCGACTCAGAGCACGTTCAACGATGAAACCTGATTCGCTATACCTGAGGAAAGAAAGTTTCCCGTGTTTATTTCTTTCTTATGTATTCAACGGGTTAATACGTAATCGGCGATCGTGTGTCTATTAATCGTACCGCACAAATTGCTGCCTATTGCAATGTACATGTAGCCTCCGTCGCCGAAGCTCGTGCCCCACGAGTTCTTGATAATGTAATGAGGTATGGCAGCCGTTTTATCGTAGCCGACTATTTGGACGGCGTGGTTCAGGTTGTCGAAAGAGCCGTCGCAGTGGTACTGTATCACTCCGCCCAAGTAATTCTGCCAGGTCAAAGCGTTTACCGCAGCCGCGACTGGTCCGTGAGTAGCCAACGTTATCAGCAGCTCATCCTCTGCATCTACAAAACTAACATCCGTTAAACCTTTAATCGCCTTAATGAGAAACGTTGCGGGCGATTGTCGCCGTAGGAAACAGCCGTTGAGTACGCTAAGCTCGAGAGAAAATCTGTCGACCGTCCGTACATACAGTGCCACTGTTCGGAAGAATGTAAAATCTACATTCGGAATAGACGCAAACTCGCATCTGTCCGTGCAAATGAATCGGCAATGGAGAAACATGACATTTCTTATCCGAGTGTATTCGACAACGTCACTCTATCCCCATTGTCGAGTTTAATGCTAACCGAACAGCTTATGTAAGAAAACCTTCTACGGCTGATTGCTGACTAAGCAACCCGACGATAAATTACTAGCCGCTGATCAACGATATAAACGCCGCTCGACCGTTTCCTCGATCGGGGCTATTGATTTCCGAATGCACTTCTTATTTCTTTGAAGTACTCGTTCCCTTTCTGGAGGCAGTGAAATCGATATATTTACGTTGATCTCGTGATCTAGGGTTACAGTGTCTTACCTATCGCACGTGAAATCTTTTATCCTGACACTGGACTCCTTCAGCATACCCCTGGAAAAAGAATTCATCTTGAATACCTTGACATTTTTCGTTTCCCTCAACGGTACAATAAATTCTTTCTCGTCGATCGGAGAATGTTACTTAACACGTTGAATGCCGTGGGGGTCATCGGTGACCCCCAATCAAAGCGACTTTAGTTCGCTCAATTAAAGGATGGTTATTCAAAAATATTTCTATGTTACAAATAATACTATCTAACGCGGCGACGTTCAGCATTTTGTGTATTTTCCGCGATGAAGTCGTGCGGCATTCAACGTGTTAAATATACTTACTTCTCGAGTCTGCACACGCCTGTCTTCCGCGTGAGCGGGTAAGCGGACTCTCTAAGTATCGTGGCTTTCGATAGCACCAGCCACGCGAGCAAGCTGCAAATGTCGCCTCCTTCGCAGCCGAAATTACTGTTTTTTGCGCAGTCGATCATCTGTGGAAATTATTCAAGCGTTATGCGAAAGAGATTTATGTAAAACAAGAGAACGTGATGATTAGCTGGTGCCACAGGTCCGTAGCGTTTCCTTCGAAGTAAAATTTCTCGACGATTCCATTCTTGATGCGTATTGTTCGACGGTTCTTTCATTCGCTAACAGGTTTTTATGAAACAAACGCTACGGACCTGGGGAACAATCCAATAAATCGCGACCGACGAAGCCGGTCGCTGCGAAGAATTCACGACCTACTTCTTGCACGCTCAACTCGTACAGGGTGCCATTTTTCATCGCGAACATCGATTCCGCGACTTCGACGGTGCTGAAGGCCCAACAGGCCCCGCATACCCCTTGACTTCGCACCGGTGTAACCACCCCTTTAGTCCTCCAATCGAATTTCAAAGGTAGGCCAGCCGATCTTCTCACGCGGTTGCTTGATTGCCGTAGTCGATGGTGCTGATAGTAGGACGCGTTTCTGTGCCTCTCTCCTAATGCATTGTTCATTCATCCTTTATTCTTTTTAATGTTCATCCTATTTTCTAAAAATGTTAACGCGTCGAATGCCGCACGGTTTTATAGAGCAAAATACACGAAATGGGAAAAGTATAATATTTAATCATTTTATTGAATTAAATTAATATTACTGTTAGTTCGTCTAGCTGAATGTCACCGTGGTAATTAACTTTGTTTACAATATAGAAATGTAATTCGATTCAGTTGGAGGTCACCGTGACCCCCATGGCATTCAACGTGTTAATACTTATTAGAGGCTGGATGTTTTACATTTTTGATATCCTGGAGTATCGCAGGAATATTATGTAAATTTATATGAATTTATAATATAAAAAAATATATAGAAATATAAAAGAAAAATATAAAATTTTGTTGTTCGAATAAAATGAAAGTTAGACCTTGAGGATTACCAGGGACGTTTCCGATAAATGAATAGTTATTAATTAATTTAATTTGTCAAAGGGTAAAAGGTCTTAAGAGTTGAGAATGTTTCACCTCTTACAGAAAGGTCTGGCACAAGAGTTTGGGTCAGGAATTCATCTTCCGACATGTCTGTATACGGGGTGAGTCCGTAATAAGCACTCTCCTGCGATGACCTAAAGCCATTCATTTTTTCTATGTGCCGCAATGATCTCTGCAATGAAGATGCAGCCTGTAGATACGTTACGCCTATCGATTATATAAAATGGTAATTAAGTATCTTTGATTCATAGAACAATTTTTTGAATTCCTGTAATTGCGTAACATTATGTAGGTAAGTCTATATTATTAGTATGTCCTATACTCTAATAAGATAAAAATAAGTAAATATTATAATTCAATCACAATATTATCATTGTAAAGATTATGGAAAGTTTCAAGTATTCCTTTTGTTTACTAAAACTTGAATAATTTGTTCAGTTACAAAAAGAGGCGTACCACCGTGTAATTAGTATTCGTGGATAGATACTTATTTCTCGTAATTGTAGATAAATCGGCGCTTATCGATTGAAACACTAAGATTCCGGAATTTTCCGAAAGGTAAAGATAAAAGAGATAATGGTGAAAAACAAAAGACGGTCCTAACAGCAAGCGCGGGAAATTTTAAAAATTTTAATTTGATAAGTGGACTGAAACGAGTACCGTCTCAGCTACGTCGCGTCAAGTGCACCTTATCAAGAGACTTTCGTCAATCTTAATCTATCGGTTACCTGAAACTGCTTAAATCTCTCTTCGTATTCCTCGGGATTGTTTCTGTAAGATTTATTGTAACGCGCGACATAGGTCTCGAAAAGTTTCACGTCCTCACTATTGTGATCAGGATCGACACGGATCGGTATCGCCAGAAAACATAGGCTCACTATCAACACTATATACACCACTGTTTTCCACTCCATGTCGAAGGCAAAGCATGATTCTGAAACACGGTAGATTTCAGACCAAAGCAACGGGCGCATACACAAGTGAATCCTTGTTGCATGACTCAAACTGATATGTGTACGCAGCGTACATATAGGAACGTATCACGATATGCCTGTGTCCGATATCACCAGGGCCGTATCAACGGAATGTAATTAGATTTACGATGCCAGTACACCTATTTAAAGGTATTTAAAATAGTAAGAAGAAAAGAAGGGAAGAACAAGTATACCTTACGATATTTATTTTATATCCTTTACAGTATATACTGCTGTATCAATTTTAAATGCAACTTTACTATGCGGGAAAAATGAGTAACTGTTTCTTTGAATTAATGAAAACATTTACTTTGCCTCGCAAATAAATTATTATGATTTTGTGTTGCTACTGTGTATATATATATACTGTTATTTGTACTCGTTATTTAAAAATATAAGGAATGATTCAATTAACAAAAGTACCTACTATATCGCTATCATTTGAGGTACTGTGCATTGTGATTTCTAACCTCCAATTAAATGTACAAATCAAAATTATGCGTTGATATAAATATGCCTCAATTATCGTGCACTTTGTTTTGAAAAAATAGAATATATTTGTAGATCAAATTATTGTATTTATCAATGTGTTTTTAAATGATAATATTTATTATAATCACTATTTTGACTTCGATAGCTGTGTTCAAGTTACGCCGCTTCCGCTTCCAGTCGAGTCTTTTGGATTTTCGATTCCTTTTGTAGCGCCAGCATTAAACATGGACACTCGTTCTATTTCAAAGAAAAGAAAGGTTGGTGAATTTTGATAGTTTGTGATGAAATATTTTTAAAAATATAGTGTTTATTGTATCAATGGGAACAAGAAAGTGAATATTTTGTTACAAAATAAGAGAATATAACACGTGAAAATTGTGGATGACATGGATACTTTCAACTGTTGTTCTCGATATTTACGTTCATATGCTTTATAATACACCATAAGTACATTGCTCGCACGTATATTAAACTGATTTTTTTCGGTGTTAACTCAAACTGTATAGATTAATGCAGCTGTGACTACTAATGTTTAATGTGTCTTTAAAATAAATGCTTGTCAACAAATGTGTACTTTGAGGTTAAGTTGTAAGTGAATTAAGTAAGAGTAGATTCACAAAATAAGAGAAATGTTATAAATTGTATGTTTAAAATGACATTGGTGACTTAATTATGTAATATGTGTAACTCCATTATGGAGGACGATTATTTATGCATAACAATAATGTGTATTTCTCTCATTTAGTTTGTCGGAGATGGAGTTTTCAAAGCAGAGTTAAATGAGTTCTTAACTCGTGAACTCGCAGAAGATGGATACTCGGGAGTGGAAGTACGTGTTACTCCTCACCGTACTGAAATTATTCTGCTAGCAACTCACACACAGAGCGTCCTTGGAGAAAAAGGACGTAGAATTCGAGAATTGACATCGGTGGTGCAAAAAAGATTTAAGTTTAAAGAAACACAAAATATTGAATTGTATGCAGAAAAAGTTGCAACACGTGGTCTGTGCGCTATTGCTCAAGCAGAATCTTTGCGTTACAAATTGATTGGTGGTCTTGCTGTACGAAGGTAAATTAGCTACCCTCTACTTTATCTAAATAGTTTGTATATTATAATGTCAATATGTGTACATAAATGCATGTATGTGTATGTTTAGAGCTTGCTATGGAGTTCTCCGTTTCATCATGGAATCTGGAGCAAAGGGTTGTGAAGTTGTTGTCAGTGGTAAATTGCGTGGACAGAGAGCAAAATCCATGAAATTCGTTGATGGATTGATGATCCACTCTGGTGAACCCACCAATGAATATGTTAATACTGCAACCCGCCATGTACTTCTTAGACAAGGTATAGGAATCAACTTCAACAGACATATAATGACTATTAACATTGTTTTATTTAAATTGTTTTTTTATTTCAGGAGTACTTGGTATTAAAGTAAAGATCATGCTTCCATATGATCCTGACGGCAAGACTGGTCCCAAGAAACCTCTTCCAGATTCTGTTTCCATTGTGGAACCAAAGGATGAAATTTTCCCATCCCAACCATCATCTGAAGTAAAAGCTTCGAAAGACATGCCACAACCAGCACCACTTGCAGTGTAATTGTACACAATGAAAATAAACTTTTAAAAGAAATGTGACAACTTTATTTTTTTCCCAATAACAGTAACATTACAATGAAAAAACAGTATGTGAATATAGTGATGTTTGTTCGTTTTCTTTATTTATTTTTGAAAATTTCAATAGATCATGTTTGAAGATATGCAACTCTCTATATGATTTTGTGAATAGAATTGAATAGTAGTTGAATTAGTTTGAATTATATTTTAAAAAATAACTAAGACTATAACCTTTTAACATGAGCTAAGTAGATAAACTAAACACTATTTTATTATGAACTCCACAGAATAACCCATATCTACATTAAATAATGAAAAAACAACGTATTTACTACTATATGCTATTGTAGCATGCACTGAATATTTCTTGAAGAATGAAGTGCAAAAGTATAAACGTAATAACACATTTCCAAAAAAAATACCAAAAATATACGTGGTGTGACATAATATACATTAATTAATATTTCCATGTTTTCTCATGTGTATATAATGTGAATACCCCTTTTAGCATACACACCATTCCGATAGGTGTGGCGGAATGTTATAATTAATAAAAAATATATAAATGTAAAATATTTGAATGAAATTTAATAACATTCACCAAACGAGGCTAAAACGAGATTGCTGTTTTCATTTACAATGATTCAAAATTACGTGATGAATTTTAATTTTTATAAATCTGAATACACAATTTAGTAATAAAAGTGACTTTGTATTTAGTAAGTAAACTCTAAACATTATCTAGTAATAATTCATATGAAATATTTGTCAAAATTGCTATTATCATTTACAACATTCAGAAATAAAGATAATAGTCGAATTTTATAAGGTCATTGTTTGATTGGTTTCATACAATTTTCAAACAATAAATCATAGGCTAGCTGTTGGTTTTGATATTTGCACTTTTTGTCCTCGAGACATATTATATGAAATTGTTATTAGATGGACCCTAGAACCCTAGGAAATCTTTAAGAATCATTATCTCAAAAATTGAAAATTACTGACGAACTGGAACCATTTGTTGTGTAAGTGATAATAGACCTTCAATCATTCGTCGAACAATGTCTGGTACAGATGGTTTTGTTGATATTGAACTTAATCCACTTCTAAGTTCATGGAATACATTGCGAGTGAATGGATTTCTCTGAGATGCAAGACGCCATTTTAGGAAGTGATAGTAAATAAGGGGTGTTAATAAACCAGCTCTGTCCCTGTAATGAATCATTTACATCAAATTATTAACATACCTATTTTTAAAAGTTTCACATATAATAATACTTACGTAAATACCAGAAGAACTGTGAATGGCAAGTTAATTATCTCAGATAATGCACACAGGCGCAGGACATTCCTAGATTGAAATTCAACTAGAGATATGAATAGACGTGCTCCCCACCAACTATTCTGTCCTAGACACTTCAGTGGAATAACAAAATAAATATCAGTTGTCATTGTAATGACTGTGCAAATGCCATAGATATGGTAATATTATATAATTTTCTATTACGATGTGAATTTTTTTTGTACTTACGTCAAGTAGTGTGAGGGAATAACTAGCAAAATGCATCAATGCAAACAAGAATATAGGTGTCAACACCACTAATTACTGGTTAAGGAATAATAATTTATAATTATTCCTACATAAGCTTGTTTGTAACTATGTTAGATTATGACATATTTTCAAATAAAAAGGATACATGTAACAGGAGCTGCATATAGAAATATTAAAGAATAAAATAGATAATGGAAGGAATCTTCAAGAAATAAAACTTCTAAAAATTGCCTGCTTAATTGAACATGTGGCACTCTTTGGTGTAGGCGTAATGCATTTGTTGCTGCATTACTCATTAAAACCTTATAATAGATATTATAAGGATTGCTAAAAGCAGTATGAAATTTAAGATTAATATTTACATAGTTAACCTTATTAATCAATACAAAAATTATTATAAAGTAACATACCCGAATATAGGAATGATGTAACCAATGGTAAACAGAATTGTGAAAAGCCTTGTAACCCATAATCCAACCTTAATTTTATTGTCAATAACATGCTGTTTCAAAGCAGGCCATCCTTTTTCAATTTGTGGCGAATTATTAGTTGAACCTGTTCTAGCATCTGCCATCCTATGTAAAAAAAAGGTATTACATTATAATATTACAAAAACTTATACCTTGATTCACTTTATTTATTATATATTGAACTAATTTAACTAAAGTAGAATTACAGACTAGTCAGAAACCCATTAAAATGTAAATCATGTCCTGTTTTCTAAAGTGAAAGCAACTAGTTTAAAGATATTTAATATAGAATGCATAAAATAATATTTAAAGCTATTAATTTACTATGAACCACAGAAAAAAGTACTGTTACAGTGAACTTCGGATAACATTACCAAATGAGTATAAATAAAATCTGAACGTTCTTTTATAGTTTATTACTCTAATTTGAAATTTGATTACAACGGTACGTGATTGTAGTCGAAATGAGAGTAGTAAATTGAAGCGAACTTACTCTGCACAGCGGTAGAACAAATACTCGTTTACTTAGTAAAATTCTAAATTACTACAAATACGCGCCCAAACGTGAATTACAAGGGATTGAATTAACTACAGCATCTACGCACATTTAGTGACCACGTACACTTTTCTAGGTACATTAATAATTATCCTGAGTTTCGCTTTTAAGATTTCTAATTTCCCTGATAGATGGTGCGAATGAATCTACTGTCACAGACTTAAGATACCTACAGATTGTGCATACAATGTATTTTTCTGTCTACCGTTCTGAAATACCGACACCGTCAAAAATCCCCTGATCACAGACGAGGTATAGGATAGACATAACGTACACCGTAAAATTATGTCACACGCTCTCGAAGGTATACTAGCACCCTTTACCATTTTCGTGTCACACCCTGTCATATCGACTAACGCTAGTTTAGCAGCGCTATAAGTGATAGGAATGCGAATCAAAAATATTGAAATTTTAAATGACAATCAGTACAGTGTTGCCGATATCAAAGATTCTTTATTCGTCGAATTCAACATCGTGACGTGCGTCTCAGCGGTAAAAATAATGCAGTAACTTAAAACAGAGGTGTCTAACTTACTCCCCTCACGCTAGTAACTCGGAAACAGCGTTCCCCCACTATCGCTGCTCAAGAAGCTGTCCGAGATTGTGTATGCAAGCAGTTCTATGTAGTGTTCTATCAAAACATGTAACAGTAGAATTTGGAGAGGGTAACGTCTCGTGAGGGGAGTGTCACTAGAGCGCCCGCAGGCACCGATTTAGACACCCTCGTCATAAGCGAATGCAAGGGATATAAAACATACTAACGACGCAATTATGTGTACAATATAAATGTCTATTGAACAGTTTTACCAATTGCAATACAATTAACCTGTTAATCGTTATATGATTCGATAAAAGAATTTTTAATTGCAGACCAACTACATATGTGGTGGTAGAGCACTTGTTAGCCTGTATTAGAATCGACTGTAATCGACGAGAGTCCGATTGATCGATATGGTTTCGCGTGTAGTAGTGTGTGCGTACGATGAAACACGAACACTAGGATGACGGCGGATACATTGACGCACCTAACAAGGGTTTTTGGCTCGTGGTGAATGAAAGGGTGAAAAAGTAGTGTTCGAAAGTTAATAAAAGTATTGGATAACATGTTCATGCGTATACATTCGAGGTGGGCTCATTGGTGGACTCTACCCATTCGTCTGGTCTCGTTATCGCATGTTATGTGAAGAGAGGCAAGTGCGTCAGGTGTATGGCGGCCTATGGGTGCAACAAAGACAGGACGCGTGGGAAGATCAGGGAAGTAAGAGGAAAAAGCACTCACCGAGGAAACGGTTGCAAGTAAACGAACTGAAACAGATCGTGAAAAGTAAGAGAAAAAGTCGGTGATTAGGATGGATGAATGTATGCTGAACGATTTGCTGGAGTGTTCGGTATGCCTCGAGCGACTAGATACGTCGAGCAAAGTACTCCCATGTCAACACACCTTTTGCAAAAAATGTTTAGAGGAGATCGTTAGCACCCATCGAGAACTGCGCTGCCCCGAATGTCGTGTGTTAGTCGACGCTAAAGTCGATGATTTACCACCGAATGTACTACTGATGCGTATCCTCGAGGGAATGCGCAATGCTGCTCCCAAGCAAACAGCTAAATCTATGATTAAAAGCAATCCAGGACCGCAGAGACTATTCGGTGGTCACCAGGTTACTCCGGCTCCTACAGTAACTGCCAGTCTTATTCCTACTACGTATACGAACGAGCCGATTCGACATGTGAATGCTACAGCTAAACAAATTCAACTGCACAATCGGGCTTACGGTCGAGCAATCTACGATTATGTATCCAAAGTTCCAGGGTAATTTGAAAGTTCCTCAAAACTTTTATTCGTTGCTGTAAGATAGATTATTGTCTTATCGATTGTTTAATGTTTTAGAGACTTATCTTTTAAAAAGGGTGATATCGTCATTCTTTGTAAAAAGATAGATAACAATTGGTGTTTTGGGGAAAGTGCTAACAATCATGGGGTTTTTCCTCTTTCTTATGTTCAGGTATCTTTTAGTACTTTAAAAATATTGTAAGCAATTATTCTGCTTATTTTATCAACAGTTAACAAGTAGTATGATATACATAGGTAATGACACCATTGACACCACATGTTCCTCAGTGCAAAGCGCTGTATGATTTTAGAATGACCAACGACGATGAAGATGGCTGCCTTACATTTAATAAGGTAAAATAATTTATAGATCTCTTTCGCTGTTGTATCGTGTTAAGATTTCTTCTAAAATAAATACTTAAGGAAAGAAATAATATCTTTGCAGGGTGAAGTTATTAGTGTGATTAGAAGAGTTGATGAAAATTGGGCAGAAGGAAAGCTATTAGACAGAATTGGTATCTTTCCACTGGCTTTTGTAGAATTGAACAGTGTGGCCAGAGCTTTAATGAAACTTTCAACAAAGTACTTGTAATGAATTTAAACAGTAAGCTTTGTATTTGTATTTTCTCCTAATATCATTTTTTTATTTGGTCAGTGCACAGCCAGGTCCATCTAGAGTAGCACCTCCTACCCCAACTAATGAAGAAACTACACCCTTAATACCAACTGACCATTCACGTAACATACAAACAACGAGTCAACCACGACCCCAACTTGTACAGGTATTTAATTATATTCCTAATACATTCGTTTTGAAGTATAAAATAATATATATTAATGTTGAACATATTTTTCGACAGAATACAACTTTACCAGTTTCTGATACTATTTCAAATGTATCATCAGGAGGAAGCTCCTCAACCACGACTCCAAATACTCCTAACAGTTCAAGTACTTCTAGTAGTTCCAGCACTGCACCAAGCAGTCCTAGTAGTCCAGCAACATCTCCTCCGGCAGTTGGAAATAGACATAATGTCAAACGTCACAGTTTCACCGCTGTTAACATGGGTCATCAGGCCCATCCTCATCACAGACACAGCGCTGAAATACTTAGTCCTCCCGTGGATAACGCAGCCGGAAATAGCAACAGTAGCTGCAGCAGTGACTCATTTTCACCGTTACAAGTTAGAAAGAATTTCTAATTTTATAACACAATATTCATAGGCTCGCTTTAAGTACAATACATCGTTATAAATTTACATTTTTTAGACTGCTGTAAGTGGCACGGAACACAATCTTCGACACAGGCGAAGTGGCAGTAGCGATCTTGTTCTTGCACAAACATCCCAGAATTTATCTACAACTACGGCTACTGGAAGCGCGCATTTACCAGCAGCATACATAGCTTTATATCCGTATAAACCACAGAAGGCAGATGAACTGGAATTAAGGAAAGGCGGTATTTATATGGTAACAGAACGTTGTCAAGATGGATGGTTCAAAGGAACTTCTAATCGTACCCAGAAGTGTGGCGTATTTCCTGGAAACTATGTTGCGCCCGCTAAGTATGACAGATACTTGCAGTATAACCGCTTCTTAATGGTATCTTGATTTTAAATAATTATACATTTTTACAGATGTCAGCGTAGTTTATGCCGCGGATCACAAAACCCTGGACAACATCAAAACTTTCCTTCATCTACCGTTCAAAATAACTCTGAACCACGAGTTACCGTAACATACACTAAAAGTAAAGGACCTGCTCCTCAACCCTATAATTCACGTACCTTGTTACCACCTGAATTACCACCGCGCGCTATCAGTCCATCCTCTATAGTATCTTCGTCTTGGCATGGTCAAAGTCAAACTCAAAATCAGGAAAAAAGTCCTCCTCGGCAAAACGAGCAAAATTCAGTGAATCCTCTTGGGCGTAGTCACAGTGCTGTGATGACATCGAGTATTTGTATGTAATAATTGTATTAATTGTATGTTACCAACATATGTAAGATACTGTTTTGAATTCCAGCCTCACCAGGAAAGCAAATAATTTTGCCATCATCGGTAACTACCACTACCACCACCATAACAGGCGTCAACACCAGCAGTATTATTGCAACTGCTTCTGCCACTGTAACTGAAATGAATAGAAGCCCAAATAGTACTTTGCGCACAGTTGCGTCTCCGTCTTCTGCCAGTGCTATTGCCGCTGCGGCTCCACCAAAGAGCACTGAAAAGGTAATGATTTATTTAAATGTATTTTCATTCTGTTGTATCACGTAATCTTATACCTGCGTATTATTATATTTTACCATGTAGCAGAAAGAGAAAAAAGATAAGTGTGTCTCCTTAATGCGACGATTAACGAATATTAAAAAATCAAAATCTCCACCACCTGCTACATATTCAATGGATAATCCCGTATTTGACGATGGTAATTCCATCAATCCGGTACATGTTCGGTAAGATTTACCAACTGTTATTATAACGACAGCTCTGTGCTTCTCACAAGTGTAATGCGTTCAGCATAATAACGTATTCAATTCTTATTAAAAATTTCTAATAAAACGGAAACTGAATTGTAATCCGCATGTCTATAGCATATCTAACATGTTTCTTTCTTTAATAATCCGCATGTATTATTTAAATTCATTTATGTTTTTGTACGTATATAAGATATATATGTATTTGTGTATCTTCACCATGTGTTGTGCAGGCATACATTCTTCACATTTGCAAAAATCACTGCATGAGTTTGATGCTTGCGCACATACATAATGGAAAAATCTAGTAAATTAGCTACATAATGTACAAAATATGTAATATAAACTTTTTTATTTT